GACCCCATCCCCGCCGCAGAAGCACGCCGACTTTTAACACCGTCTCCCTCGGCAACAGTGGCCAACAAAGACAGCAGGCGTGCCTGCCTCCACACGGGCAGCTGTTACACAGTGAATGAGGAGGCACGGATTAGGAGTAAAAGAGAAAGCCTGCAGTCCAACAAAGCATGACATCTTTCAAACGGGGGGTTCAATAATACTACACAAAAAAAACGTTCGAAAGGATCATTATATAAAAAGGTGCAGAGGGCCTTCTTACCACAGTACTTAAGCAGTGAAACGTTTAGAAAACGTTTCTTTTTTAGCTCCTATACAAAAGACTAAAGGAAAACAAGCTCAATTATTTTACTTTCATGTTACAGGCTCCTAACCACAAGTATGGGAAACATTACAAATGAAAACAGAGTTTCATCTAAATTAATGCCCCAACTCTTAAAAGAAATGTTCGCTCTGAATATTATTTACAGAATGTACTGGCTCTCCAAAGAGTATGTTAGGACACAAGACGTTTACAAGCAAATTCAGCCGAGGGGTTCCCCCCCCGAATACTGCCTTCGAGGGCTCCCCCGAGCCACTGAAAAATGTTCAGCCCAAAACCATCCTGCCAGCCCGCCTGGGATTTCTTCACGTTTCAATATTTACTTCTTCCATTCAGATCTAAAACTGGCACAGCCCCTCATCCCGTAAGATTCAATTACCGACCAGAGCCAGGAAGGCACAAATATATCTATTTTAAATTTAAAGTTTTTTTTTCCTAATGTGCATAATATTTTAGTTCTTTAAATACCAGCCTGAGGTAGGCCTATAATTCATCATTAGCAGCATGCAAAACCCACTACATTTCCATTCCACTTGCAGGCTGAATTGTCACCAACCCCCAGCTCAGCTGGAGTATTTCACTGCTTCACTAGTCCTACAAGTCAATAAGACGCATGTGTTCACAGCCCTTTGGCCTGAAGCACAGTCAAAGGCTCTTTTATACCATCTCAAACGTGCCTGCTCTTAAGAACCCCTAAATCTAGGTTACAGCTTGTTTATATCATAAGTGCTTTATAGCCTGGAACTTAAGTCTTCATTACAGCCCAACCAAAAGATGGATGTTACTCCAGTCTCCTGCATCCATGAGAGACGGGGTGAGTGTTTGTGATTTAAGATCCTGAAATGTTAAAAAGAAATAAGACAATACAGGCAGAACAGAACTCTCAGCTATGGTGACCACATAACAGCAACCAGGACAACTCTAAAAACAGCTCTTAGTCCACCCAGCATCATGAGTGATACAAAAGCATATACATATATACACAGGGCAGCTATTAATTCTTGCAGTCACCTTTGAAAAGGTACCCACTTCCTAGAATTGTGTTTTGTGCACATACCTTTGACCATGCCTGTATATCCTGTGAATGTCAAGTTAAGGAGCGTTTCTTTTCCGAGGTCAGTGCACGACAAATGTACAGTAATGCACTCACATAACATTTTGTGTAACTGTACTGTAACACATTTACAGAAGCCAGTCACCTGCTCCTATCAGGTAGCTTTACATCCTTCAGGAAATAAGGAAGTTATTAGGGTGTCTCTTTTAAAGTAAGACCTAAACAGTCCTCAGGCTCAGCGTACAATCAGAAACAATGAACGCACACACTAAACTTCAGCATCTAGGGGAGGAACGGATTAGCACTACATTATCACTACAATCTGGGCTCTCAACTTGCAGGAATACGACACGAGGTCTTGAAGGGAACTTTAAATTGCCTGAGAGGACTTCAAGATCAACAGTGAAACACAGACCAGACCTGCGGACAACTGGAAATTCAGAGGAAATGCGTTCAAGACTGAAAAGGGGAGGCTTTACTTTAAACAAAAGGGTGCAGGAGTCAGGAACCCTTCTAAACCACTCGACAGCGCTGCTCAAGATGACCTCCCCACACCCTTCAAGAAACGGCTGGATGAGATCCCTGGATCAATCAGCAACCAGAACAGCTATAACGACCCAAAAGTCTTCCCTCCCTCCTCTATCGTGTTCTCAGGCTCACAGTAGGAAGAGCAAGCAGGGATCTGGAGGAGAGAGGCTCACTTTCAGCAGACTGTAATAATAATTAACTGCTTACACTTATATAGCACTTTTCTGGACACTTTACAGGTAATGGGGTTCCCCTCCCCCACCAGTGTGCAGCCCTACCTGGATGATGCACCAGTACACCCCCCACACACAAGCTCTCAGTGGGGAGGAGAGCAGAGGGATGAAGCCAGTTCAGAGAGGGGGGTTATTACTGGTAAAGGCCAGGGGGAAAGGAGGGTCAGGCCAGGGTGATATGGCTGCTGGCTAAGACTTGAATATGTACACAGATTCAAAAAGCTGGAACACAGATGCACAGTTGGATGTTTTTATGAAATACAGACATAAAACAATGAATTGAAACCACTTCAGGACACTCGGGGCTGTGAACCCGATGTCAAACACTGCTACGCCCTGTACTAACCTATCTAGATGAGCCTGAGGAGTGACACAGCCCTGTTTTCTCCTCCATCTACCATGCCTTTCTTTATGGAACAGGGTCTGCACTGAGAAGCTCGCACGCATTCCAAACTGACCCTCCTTCCCCCGGAGCGTCTCGGGGCGCAACGCAAACCGGGGCGCAGAGCTGGGCGAGGAGCCGCAGTCTGGGCCGGCCCAACACCTGCCAAGGCTCTGCCGTGAGGCGCGCCCCGCCGTTTCACTCCCCCAGGGCCTCAGAGCACCACATCACCCCAACGACCCCTGGGGCACCCCAACTCTGGCCCACCACTGCAGGGAGCGCGCTGGCGCTCCTCAAACCTTCACATCACAGCCCTCTTCCCAGGAGGCGCTGACCGCCCTCGCTGTGCTGGGAGTGGACCGCAAACCACTCCTCCTCGTTTCCTCGGGACGAGCAGGTCACCGTCTCCGGGGAACAACAGACTGCTCCCAGACAGGAGGCTCGTTCAGACCTCTGGTTCACCGAGTGTTTCCAACAGTTAACAGACTCAGCATTTAAACCCCTATAAAAGCGCCCAGGGGACTTTTTAACCACCTCACCTACAGTGTGTTTCGCGTCAGAAGAAAAAAAAACTGGCAGGCCTACCAGACAGAAACAGATGCAGGCTTGCAGGAGTTAACACGCAAGAGACAACGAGGACAAACATCACACTTTTAGTGAGGAGCCATTCAATTTAAATTTCCCAAAGCTGGCTTAGCTCCGAGAAAATAAACATCCGTTACACTTCCAGCTGAAGACCCTGTGTTACAGCCCCAGGGGACTGGATGAGCAAAGCCTATCCTGCTGCAGAGGCTCTGGGAGACAAAACAACGCAGCCGGCTTGGTCCTCAGCAGTGGGTGAAGCTGCGCACCATGTCCCCAGCTGAAATGGGGCAGGTGATTAAGCGATGCTGTTTCTTAGAAATGACAGCGAATTACAGCTGGCTGTCCTAGACGCAGCTACCTCAGCGTCACTGTGTGACAGACGGTGCTTGAGGAAAGCTCCAAGCATCATCAAAGACCCCACACACCCCAGCTACAGATTGCATGACCCTCTATCATCTGGAAAACGGTACCGGAGCATTCGGGCCCGGACTATTAAACTCCCAGCCTCTCTCACCTCAGATCTGAACCTCACAGTGCCTTCTTACCAAAAACCCAAACACACATTGAAGTCTACCTCTACCTCACATGTCAAGAAGCTCACTCCCCATCATTTTCTATCCTTTATTTCATTCTGTTGACGAATGATTTTTGCACATCTGATATTGTTTTGCACATTGCCTTTTGTTGTTTGGCACACTGCCTGTGGTCTCTGTCTTTCTTTTATTATAAAATTGTATTGTTGTTTTGTTTGTACTACTTATCGTCTGAGACCTAGCTAAATAGCATTTCGTTATACCATATACCCGTGTGTGAGTATCATGCCAGGAGACTTTGAGCTTGAACAAGAAGGCCCTCTCTAGCTGCTGTGACCGAGTGTCGGGGCACTTCAAGCGCTTCAGCCGGCTCCGGAGCTGGCCGGAGGAATCACGGAGCCGCAACACCACGGCCTGGACCGCACGTCCTGTTTGTCTCTCCTCAGCCACACATCCTTGTGAACAATGGGAAAGGGGGAAGAGAGCTGTCGCCGCTGGCGGATTTCCCCCCAGTATGTACACTAGCTGCTCCTATGCCCTGTAGCACAGCGGCGGAAACGCTGCGCAGAAGAGAGCGCCGAGGATGGGGTAGCACTATAAAAAGCCAGTGGAAACAGGAGCCTGCCAGGTCCCAACCCCAGTCCTGAGGGGCTCCATACCTCCTGGTTTCCATGCCCACGGAGCTGGTAATCACCCCGGCTCTTCGCTGCCTTTGACAGAGCCCCCACCCGAACCATGAGACCTCTGGTCTCCAAAACACCCTGCCCCTCGCCCGCTCCATCCGCCCCACACAACGCAGCGCCGCGCAGCCGTCTCCTCGAGCCCCAGAGCCCAGCTCGGTCTCGGCAGCCCCGCACACGCAGGCCAGGGCGTCAGGGGGACCCCAGTGGGGACCGGCGGTGAACCCCACTCAGCCCAGCTTTCCGCTCCGGGACAGATCTTTCCCACAAGGGGGCAAACAGACAGAAGAGATAGAAGCCCAGCACCAGACTGTGACGTCAGCTGGAACACAAACATAGGGAGCACTGGGGGGGGAGGGGGGGGTGCCCCAGGACCAGAGTTGGGCTCCACAGCTGGAGGACCTCAACCCAAGGCGAGTGGTGCCAGACAGGTGTCTCAAGCTCCACCGCCCGACCGCCTAGTGTCTCTGGGTCCTTGCTCCAACACCCAGCCAAACACAAATGCATGACTTTGCCAGTTCGAAACCAAGAATCTTTTCTTTCAATGAAGGTCTTTTGATGATCGGGTACCCCCCATCCCCCCAAAAACACTCGCGTTCCTCCCCACAGACCCGGAGCCCACTGGGAGAGGGGGGGGTCCCCGCACACCTCCGCAGCGAGCCCCCAGAAGCCCCGGGGAGGGTCACCCCCGGGCCGCCCGCCGCGTACCTGTGGGGGCGCTGTCGAAGATCCGGACGTCGTAGGCCCCGGAGCAGCGGTAGTTGGCGGCCGTGCCGTTGTCCCAGACGACCACCACCTCCTCGGGGCTCTCGAAGCTGCGGACGGTGCCGACGTGCCCCTCGCCGCCGTCCTGTTTGCCCCACTTCCAGTCGGGCCCGCGGAACACCCGGGCGCCCACGCCTTCCATCATCACCCTGTTGTTCCTGCCGGTGGTCATTTGGCGGCGGCCTCTGGCAAACCACACGGACGGCGGCGGCTATTCAGTGCGGCTGCCCCGCTCCCCGCATCGACCTCGGCGGGAGTCGCCCGGGCAGGGGGGTCGTGCCGGTCACCGGGATCGGCCCGACGGCAGTGCGCCCGGGGGGGGGGGGTCAGCGCTCCTCCTAGAGCTGGGGTCCTGACGGGAGGAAGCGGCCGGGCCGGCGCTGACACACGGAGTGGGCTCGGCGGTCCGGCAGCACGGCGCCGAGACAACAAAGGGCCCGGCCGGTCGGGTTTCGTCTAGACCAGCGCTGTTGTTTTCTTTTTTTTTAAAAAAAAAAAAGTGCAACTTAGAAGCAGAGCAGGGATCAGCCGGGGAGGGGGGAAAGCAGCCGCCCCCGTTGCAATAATTGCTTGCAAATCGCTGCTGTTGTTGTTAAACCCCCTGCCCCCTCCCGGGCAGGAGACGGACACACGGAGAGAGAGAGAGAGAGAGCCCTTTCCGTCGAAAGTTTAGAAACTTATCCTCTTCCTGCGGACGGGGGGTCTCCTCTTGCAGGACAGGCTGATCCAAAAGTTAAAAACGAGTCGGCAGACAAAAAACACACACACAACCAAACGAAAGGCGATCAACAGATGGGTCCAACTTTTGCGGCGCTTCTCTCTCGCCCCCTCGCTTTCTTACCACGACACCTTCTTCTGCATTAAAAAATAATAATAATAATAATAATAATAATAACGGGCTTCTCGAAACGGAGACGGCTTTTCGAGCTCCGGAAAGCGCGCACACACGCAGGGAGAGAGGGGGAAAAAAAAGTGAACGTCGTTTTTGAGAAGGATGGTGAAGCTACTGGAATATTTCTAAAGTTGCGTCTCTTTTCAGCCGTCTCCACCTTCCACCATTCATCGGAAATCCCCTTTTTGTCTCCTTTTTTTTTCTTCTTCCAGGGAAAATCCTGCGCTCTTTGTACGCGTTGTGTTTCTACTCCAGCTCCCAGCCCGGTGGGGGATCTTTGTGTCTACGGCGCTTCCCACACAATCCCTGCCCTCTTCACTCACTCGCTCCCGGTTGTCCACAGAGCACCCTGCACGCTTGCACCACGCTCCCGATGCGGGCAATCTCGTCTCCCGAAGCTCAGTTGTCGGTTTTTTTTTTTTAAAGCTGGCTGGTTGCAACAACTCAGAGCAGACGCGTCGCCATTATTGTCAATCAGAGCGCAGCCTAGCGGGGGAGGAGGAGGAGGAGGCCGAGCGGCGCGGCGCAGCGTGTGACGTCGAGGCGCGCAGGCGGGGCTGCGTGACACGCCGGCAGGCCCAGCCAGTCGATGACAGAAAACGCGAGCGGGGAGCTGCTGTTCTCTTGGTTTCTCATGCGCGAGTACCGTAATTAAATTTGCTCTGCAAGACGTCATTCTTGCCTTTTTTTTCCTGTTTGCGGGCTGCGTATCATATATCACTTCTTAGACTCACATCTCCTTTCTTCATCTTCTTGCTACTGGTTTCAGTTTGAGTGATAGCCTGGTATCGAGTATTGCAAAAGTTACATGTTTTTATTTTGCTGTCTGAGCCTAGACTACTTTTTCATATAGGTGTTGTATATTTAAATTATACACAATCTACTCCAAATTGCTAAAGCTACCAAAAGGCTGATAATAGGAAAATAATTGTTTCATAAGTATTCCACCCTTTTTAACCAGAAACCCTCAATCAATTCAGGCACAAAAGAACAGTTTGGAAGGACACACAATTAATGTGATTCTCTCTCTGTGTAATCAGAGCCTTTTAACCTGATTCCAGAGGGAATGCAGCTGTAAGATCCCTCAGCTAGCTATCGAATTTCAAGCCACAGCTAACACAGTGAAGTGAGAAACTGACCGAGGCCGAGGAGCTTCAGACACAAGCTGGGGATACAGGAGCAGAGGGACACAGATCAGGAGGAGGTGACCTGTCCCTCGAGCACAGTGTCCATCATTCAGAAGTGGAATGAGCACCATACCACCCTACACCACCTGCACCAGGCCACCCCTCCAGACTGGCTAAGGATGTCACCGAGAAACTGAAAGACCTGCAAAGTTTTACATCTGAGTTAAGAGACGCTGTCCATACACCCACCATATATGTGTCAGTATATCTGAAATACCACTGGCCTGTTGGGTGAGTGGACAGGAATAAAAGTCTCAATTTAGACCTCATCTGACATATATTTGATTTTAGACCTCATCTGACATACATTCCAGACTTGTGGAGGAAGGATTTATGATCAGACAAAACAAAAACCTTTGACGTTTTGACCTGCATACAAACCATCACGTATGGCACAAACCAGTACAGCCCTGCTGTCAAGCGCCTCGGTGGTGCCAGCTTGTTACTGGGCTGCTCCTCCTCCGCAGGGAGACCCGGGTTCGTGCCCAGGCAGTGAGGGACGAACTGGCAGGGCAGGAGCAGCAAGGGTGGAAACCCCCAGAACCGTCACACAAAGTTCAGGCAATCTTTGAAGACACCCTGCTTAGGTCCCACTGGGATCTAAAACTGGGCTGAAAACTCCTGTTTCAGAGCAGCAACGTCACAGTCCTGACTTGAATCCAATGGAACATCTGTGGTAACTTGGTGATGTTGCCAAGAATAATGGGCACATTTACGCCATCCAGCTGTGCCAAACCGGTGAAGACCTGGCCATCCGTGTTTGCTGCCAAACTCCACATTGGATATTCAATCAGTAAATTTCAATTTGAGTATCTTCTTTGCAGGTTTTGCCTTCATTCAACTTCCATTGGATGTAACAGTATTCAGCAATGATTGTTGCATTTCTGAATAAAAAAAAACTCAGTTGAAGACAAATGATATACGGAACTTGTAATTAATTTTGATGTGATATCACCCTGCAGCTCAACGCTGGCAGCCCACTGAAGCTCAGCAGTGTGAGCCTGGTCATCGAAAAAGACGAATTACTAATGCAAGAAATTATATATGGGCAATAAATTGATCGATCTATCTACCTGGAGGGGAGACTCCTGGGAAAGCTAAGGCTGCTGCTGGAAGAGGTGTCAGTGGGGCCAGCAGAGGGCGCTCACCCTGCGGTCTGTGTGGATCCTAATGCCGCAGTATAGTGACGGGGACACTAGACTGTAAAAAGGCGCCGTCTTTCGGACGAGATGTAAAACCGAGGTCCTGACTCCCATAAATTCACTGTTATATTTTATTTTCAAAATTCAATTTAACTTTTGTAGAAGAGAATACTCCCAATGTAGTTTTCTGTTCTTAGTAGGTTTTCATGAGAGTTATACGTGGCCCCTTAAAAAAACAGGCATGAACAATGGTATCTTTTCTTGTGCTTTGTATTTTAGTCAAATATCCCCTGAAAATTCTCAGTCTTTAAAGATGCTTTTCAAGATCAAAATGTAAATAACGTGTTGGAATTTGCTTTTTAAAGTCTGTGTACTTTTAAGATTGTGGTTTATACAAGAGAAAGTACACTCTGTATTTATATCCTCAAGGTGGCAGCATCATCAAACTTCTAAAATTCATTTGACCATTATAAATTATAGAGTAAAAATTATCGGGGTTACGATCACACGTTGAAATGATTAAAAAAATCGCGTTTACATCGAATTAACCATGAAATAAAGTAAATATAAATAACAAAAGGCTGGATTTATCTAATCATGCATTAATTGAAGTGTCTGTAACCTTTACATTATGGAGACTGTATCGATGTTTGCTTCGTGTATTACGGCTTTTTTCACTGTTGCTTGACGTCACGCGAGCTTATCTAAAATATGCCCTAACTGCAATTTATAGTTTCAAGTGAGATTTTGTACCTTTAGGATACTTTTACATTAAATGAAAGTTGTGTTTTCCTTGCGGAAGAAAAGAAGCGGTATATTGCGAGGATATTGAAAATATACGAGTTGTCGTCTGAATCTATATTGAATTCTCATCCTGTCCTTAGCTACAAGGTCTCGCCTGAGCAGCCACTGGATCTGTTAGTACTTCAGGATTTCAATTCCTAATACAAATAAATAATTTAAACCGACATTTGACAGATTGACCCTTAGTTTTCCATCAAATCAGATCTATTGAGAGAAAGGGACGTGAGAGTGAAGGGAAAGGAACAGTTACATTTAAATTCATTGCATTTCTGGACCGGGCACAGTAAACACGTTCAAGAGCAGGGAAGAAAATACTTTAATCGTAATACTGAAAACACCCTCGGGTGCAAAGGCAGATAATTTCAGCTCACTGCAGCAGAGCTGAGAAATGCTTTAACCACTTGACATATGTGGGAAAATACCCAACTAATGCACGGAGAGCCTCGTAGCGTGTGTCAAATTCTGGAGACATCCTCTTTGCTCATATTGTGAGGCATTTAATGGAATGTTCTCCCTCGTCCTTGGGTTTGCAAACTAATTTAATCACCTGCTGTGGGATTAGTCAGTGCATAGACTATACTGTATCTCATCCTGCACAGCTGACGATACAGGTTATAGATTAGATGGTGTTTGAATGCTGTAAAAAACGTGGTAACGGTGATGCACCGTGTGAAAGGGTGGACACAAAAATATACTTTTTGTGATTAGACCAGATGTACTAGAAACTTTCCACGTGTGGTGTCGGTTTTTACTGATCTTTTCTTGTTGTTGTTGTTGTTGTTGTTCCTTCTCTCCTTTCCGTTGTGTAAAAATGGAGTAAAAGGACAGTTTTAGATGTGACTTCAACTTTTGATGTGACGTCAGTGAAGAAAACGCGGCTCCTCTGTGTGTCGGCCAACAGTCACGTGTCACCGAACTCGCTCTCTCCTGAGGTCCAGCTGGTTCCAGGGCTGACAGGGTCTGGTCCAGTTCAGTACCCCTCGGCCCAGTTGTCCCGCCGCCCAAACCCGTCGTCAAACAGCGCTAACGATTCTAAAGTGGCTGACTGGGTGGTAATTAGTTAATAGATTGGTGTGAAGGGTTTGCGTCCACATTTATACGTGGGTTTAATTAGTAGTGTTTAGTGTATAAATGGGGTTAACAAGGGAGAGGAGGTCTGAGAAACAAAGAGTGGTTGTTATTTCCTTTACCCTCAGGTATGGGACAAGTAGTCCAGCGATTAGATGTCATAATCTTTGTATCGGTTACCTACCAAAATTGTTTAGATGTGCCGGACTAGCTACTTTTCTTAGCGTACTGCCTTGTTAAAACCTGTGAAAGTATCCTTTAAAGGCGCAAAAGCAAAACCATCTACACCCACCGTTATGGATTGCAGATTAACCTGCACAGGCGTGTCTGACGCTTGACACGGTGTGCGAGTTTAACTTCCAATGTCTCTGCGCGCTGAGTCAACTGAGTCAGCGCAAAAGGCTGTCCTGGCTCTTCTGTCGCCTGCTCTCTGCGCAGACTCTAGTTCCCTAGAGCACTAATTGGCGCACTGCTGTATTAAAGCGACGATTTATATTGTGTTAAACTAGCGGTTGTATCTGTAGTATTTGACATCTGTAGTGGCTGTAGATAACTATAACTTGATTACAAGCGTTGTCTGTCGGTAGCTTACTTGCACTTGCACATTGTCTATTACTTGCACATTGTCTATTGTTCGTTTGTACATTGTCTTGATGCACTGTTTGCACTTTGTTTTGTTTTTTACACTTGTTTTACAATCGAGAGACTTTCTGTCAGTAAGAATTCCATTGTACCAGTACCGGTTACATATGGCAATAAAGTTCAAGTTCAAATTCAAGTTAAACGGCTTCATGGATTAACTCGTGCGTGAATTACATTTCCAGTGATTTAACGAATGTTCCGTAGATGTGGGGCAGTGATTTTTTTTATGTGAAAGTAATTCACATTTATAAACTTCTATCGAGTGTGTCGATGAATTTATGGGGAGTTGATTCCCTCTCTAATCCCGATGGGCTTTGTCGGCTGTACTGACGTGATAACCATCGACTTGGCGCAACAGATGCGAGGCCACGCAAGTGTCCTTTGGATTGGGCTCGCCAATGGAGAGACGGGGGTCTGCTCTCCCCCTTGGGTCCTGCTGGTTGTCTCCTTGCTCGCCTGTGGACACCTGACTTCTCTCTCTCTCTCGTGCTGTATTAGCATGACCGATGGGTACAATCAGTGTTGCAAAAGCACATAAGATTAACATGAAACAAAAAATAACATACAATCTACATTTACAACAAAGACATATAATAAAATATTTAAATATACTGTAAACATATTGAGCATTACTGGGAGACAGACTCACTGTTCCTCGGGCTGTGACAGGAGATCACATACTGGGCTGCCAGTTCAACTGAGTTCCCTCCTCCCTCTCCCAGTAGGATTGGGACCCGTTGTGATTCTGGCAGGTGTGGGAACTCTGGGATTAGATTCCTGAATTTAGGGAAGAATGTTTCTCTAATCCCAGAGTATCTGTCACAGTGCAGTAGGAAGTGCACCTCTGTCTCTATTTCTCCCCGCTGGCAGTAGGAGCACAGCCTGTCCTCTCTGGGCAGCCAGGTCTGCCTGTGTCGCCCAGTTTCTATGGCCAGGCTGTGGTAACTGAGCCGGTACTTTGTCAGGGTCTGTTTCTATTTGCTGTTTCTCATCTTGGTCAAATATTCGGCTAATGTGTATTGTCTGTTTAGGGTTCTGCAGCATTCGAGTTTATGTTGTGTTTGTGTGTGTGTCCCAGTGTGTGAGATATTGCTGTTTGATCTGTGCTGTGATGTGCTTGGGTTGTGGTGCTCTAGCAGTGCTGTCCTGAGGCTGGCTGGTGTCGGTGTGGCTCAGGCCAGTGAGCCTCAGGACCAGCTGGGTCAGGGGGCTCTGTTTCGGCTCAGCAGGGCTTTGTGGTGGTAGGAATTTTGGTCACTGTTTTTTAGGTGTAGCCAATACTTTAATACTCTCTTCTATATTTTTATTAATAATGGGTATTGGCCTTATTTGGCCCTGGACCCGTTGTTAGGTGTTTTTCTCTGCACACAGAGGATGCTTCTACAGATCTCCATGTGCAGAGTTTCTGTGGGGTGTTTGTCCCATTGAGTGTACTCCTGGTCTGTGAGGGGACCCCACACTTCACTGCCGTATAGGGCAATGGGTTGGATTACACTTTCAAATATTTGGAGCCAGATTCTTGTTGGTGGGGTGATGTTGAAGAGCCTTCTTCTTATTGCTTAGTAAGCCGAGTCCCTTTTCTCTCTCTCTCTCTCCCTCTCTCTCTCCTGTCCCTCTAGCGGAAAACCCCGCTCACTGCACGGCGCTGATGGTGGAGCACTACATTGTCCAGAATCCTCCTGGGCAGACACTTCTGCACAATCCATTCTCTACTTTCGCTCTCTTTTCTCCCTCTAGACCCTTAATCTGTATCAATCAGCTATTTGAGAGTTGACGTAAATGACCATGACGCTTGCCGGCTTCAGCTGTTTTTTTTTGGTCGGGCGTCCGATGACAACGCGCACACCCCCGGCGCTGTCTCTGCCCTGGGATGTTCTTACTGCAGGAGTCGCTCGGCTCAGTCAGAGTCGGCGGCTGAGGGAGACAGAGGGCGCGCTGCTGGTGCTGAGGCTGAGGCTGCAGGTTGGCTCAGCCGTCCCGTTCTGTCCCGTCCAGCTCCCCTGCACTGCGTGTGGGTGTCCGGCAGCCTGGTGGCGAGGCGATGACCGCCCCGGAGTTCAGTCTCAACGTGCTGACCAGGGACATCTCCCTGTATCTGGAGAACCAGGTCAAAGTGGGGCTCTTCGGCTCGGGAGTGGGGCTGTCGCTGGTCCTGGGCTTCAGCGCCGCGTACGCCTACTACTACCTGAGCTCGGTGGCCAAGGTACGAGAAACTTGGTTAGACTAGTTCTGTCGCTTCGTTTCATTTGGACCCAGTCCGCACCGGTCAGAGAAGAATCGGGTTTTCTCTATTTTCACATTTTCTGTATTAGCGTAGCGCGTATCGATGGGTATGTCCTGTTACAGTGACAGGAAATAATTCGGTCGTTCAGGCTGTCCTACTGCGGTGGTAGCTAGTATTGTGACTTCCATTGTGTGAAAGGGGAAAATCCACGAGTGATATTGCACCTGGATGTTTTAAAATTATGTACAAAAACGCTTTTACGATTAAGACACTACGGGCGTCGTGCATGTACTTCATAGTTAATTATACCTAAAGTCTGAGAACGGATTAAAAAAAACTTAATAGCCTATGGCCTGTTTCAGTAAATTAGCATCGCTGTTTCTCCTAGCGTTCACCCTTCAAAGGTCGGTGTTGGATTAATTTGACCGTTATTGTGGCACTAATATAAATTACGCGGGATTGCTTGCGTATAATGCTATTTACTGTTGTGTCTAAGCAGTTTTGTGCGAGCTATCTGATGGGCAAAACCCATTTTTGCTTCGCTCCACGCCACTGTTTATACAGTACATCACAAGCTTGGCGCTGCCCGGGTAACCCTTAGAAGAAAACCCGAGACGGTCTGTTGTATCCCCCGGCGAGATTTAATTTCCTCTCTCCTGTAATTGATAATAGCCCTTCGCGCTGGCCCGTTACGCGAGTCGCAGGTCACCCGAGGAGGCGGTGCTGCTGGATTTCGGCACACCTGACCACAAAGCCCCTCCTGTACAGCTTGTGTCCCCTGTGCAGAGAGAATACGGCGGAACTGCAGTCTTGGAGTTGCCTTTATCCCCAAATAATACCAATAATGAGCTCGTTTAGTTCGATCGTTCTTCCTACCCGTGTTTTCTTGCTTCAGTGTGTAGATATTCGTTTACTATAACTAGTGACATAAAACAGGTAGCATGCCTGCAGTAGCACTCCAGGAGCAAAAACAGTAAAAAAAAAAGGCATTTAATCGATTTTTTTGCTCTTCCTGTGCATATACAACCCCTTTGTTCAGACATTTTATGCAGTAGCGAATAAACCCGAGTACGGATCTTTAATAGGCATGAGGCTCTATTCCAAGTAGTGGAGTTAAATAATTACTTGTGACTGCAGACTGCTAGGAGATGGCTCTTTCTGTCTCTTTATTCTTACTTATACACTTAAATGGCATAGTATCTGAACGTCAAAGTATCTGAAGATTCAATCTGAGCTGATTTTTGCGTTGCCGGATTGACGGATATTTACACCTGACTGAAGAGTTTTCAGGCACCAGAACGTTTGCGACCTGACTGTGACCTAGCGGCGCCGAGACCTTTCTGCGACGTAAATCTGTTCTCTGCGATGTGTTGAAGTGCTATAAAACCCAGGACTGAAACCATGAAAGGGTTTGTTTTTTATCGGGGTGCTCTGAAGGTCGGGACTTCGTCTCGCCCATACTTTTGAGTCAAAATAACATTCATTTTTGGACGAAAGAAACTCCATCCGTGTCTTGCAACGTTACAGAACACGGCCCCGCTGAAGGAAAAGGCCTTCCTTAAATACTTGACTGTAATTTTTTCTCCCCATTTACGGTATGAAGCTCTTGTAAAAAAAAAAGAGAGGACTGCCCTCTTCTAACGAGGTACAGTAGCTGAGGCATACCGTGCTGCCGTGTGACAAGTCCGACGCCTTCGAAGTCAGTGAGCCAGTAGGAGTCCACTTATTTTTCTGTGCGGCCTTCGGCTGAAAGAAAATGAAGGGATGAAGCTCAGAAACTTTGAAGTATGGACGTGATATTATTCTGTTCAGTGCACCACAAAGAAGACCAAGATGTGTAAACCGAGCAAGTATAACACCCTCTTATCGCTGCAGATGCTTTTTAAGGTGTGAAGGAAAACCGACTGCATACAAAAAATGGGACGTGTAGTTGGGGGTGGGGAAGAGGACCAACAAGCGCGATTAATAGAAATTGGAGTTTGGGTGTGCTGTGTGCCACAGAGCTTGATTACAGGTTGACAGACCTCCAACGTGCTGTTGTGCGACCTTGAAAGGAGACAAACGTGTGCTGTTCCGATTTTATTTTGATCTTCCAGAAGCCTCAGCTTGTCTCCGGGGGGGAGACCTTCTGCCAGTTCCTCCAGGAGCACTGCCCGGTGGTTTCGGAGACGTACTACCCCACCTTCTGGTGCTGGGAAGGCAGGATCCAGACGCTGCTCCGGCCGTTCATCACGGCGAAGCCCTGGGTGGAATATAGGAAGTAAGGAATGGAGGTTCACGGCCTCTTCCCCAGCACAGCCGTCCTCCGGAGTGGCTTTGCCCACTGCTCCGTGAGAACAGCGTCATCTCGGCCATAATCGAGCGATGCTGTCGTGCAGTCACGAGTCACCTGGTGTTCACAGGTGTGGAGTGGGAGTAACCCCTTACTGGTTACTGGTTTATTGCTTAAACATAATGTCGCGTCATAGAGGCACGTGCATGACTCAGTTACACTGTAACACAGCCAGAAGCTGTAAGGTCACCCCAGCTCAACTGGAACAATATTCAGCAGCCTCCGCTGCAGAGCTCTGTGACAGTGTCTGGACATGAAGTGCAGCTGAAGTAATCTTATGGTGGGGGGTTACCCTGTATGGGCCTCTAGTCTGTGCAGCTGTTCTGTGCTGCTCATATAGTTTTAGAGGGGAACTGTGACTGTTCTCCTATTTCGGGGTTAGGAAGAACCAGCATTGGGGAGTGTATACTTGGTAACATTTGCACAATAACTTGTAAAACCTCCAGTTTACATCACAAAATAGACAATTTCCAGGTATGCACAGCGCCATGTTCTGCAATTCAGAACAAGGCAACAAAACGTCCAGTGAGGTGAAGTGGCTCTATTATACTGTAAACACTCAGGCTTGTGAATACAATACTCGTTAATCCAACACAAATATTGCTCTCAATTTTGTGACAGTTTCACTGACAAAGACAAACTTGTTTGTGCATGCAGATTACATTGGAACATTTCTGCAATTAAATATCAGCTGCTCAACTGTGCTTATTCTCTCCTATATCTCATTACATCAGTCAGTATGGAGACTAGTGAGCAGGAAGGGCCACATCACATGACAACTCCTGGGAACTCAAACGTGCGTTTGTAACAACCTGGTGACTTAGTCCTTCCACAAAGTTCACAAAGATTTTGTGCTTCATTTGAAATTTGTAAATTATATTATTTGTTTTTATTATATAATGTCATTGAATGTCAATTTATTTTGTTGTTGAGAATTTAATTACCGGCCTGAGAAATTGGACTGCAGCTCCCCTTTAATTCTTTACAACCAAGTTCACTTTTAATGTTGGAAGCAGATCTTTGATCCACATTCTCTTAAAGCTTTAAGACAATTAAAAGGTTCATTTTATCATGTTTATACAGGCATATAGAACTACACAGGAATATTGTTGGAAGGGTTATAAAACAGTGGTACATCTACAGTAGCTATTTCATGTTAGTGTGGAATATTTCAACAGGTAGTTTGGAAGCATGAATGGAAGGTTCCTCAGACTGTCAGCTTTGAAAAGGTCATAATCTTTTTGGTGTTGGCCTTCTTGAGAGTTAAACTGGAGAGGGAAAAGCCCTTGCATTTGTGAGGTTATTTTTTCACTTGCTTTAAAATGAGATTTAGAGTAGAAATTCCCCCACAAGGATGCAGTAAACAGTTTTTCTAGATTGGTGGAAAGCTGGTTATACAACATTTCCCTGAGATTTGAATTAATTGAAGGTTGAACTTCTATATTCTGATTTTGTGTTTGTGTTAATCCAGAGAAATGGAAGAGATGTCAAATGGATTACTCCACATTGTTGTGCATGTGAAAACAAGGGTTTAAAACTGTTTAGTGAGAAGGTGCAGACATTTAAGTTAATGTAACAAGAGGGGTTTTAAAAAGTTTAGAAAATAACGTTTTCACAACATGGACCAGAATTAGTCAAATGCTTCAATGGGGCTATTTCCAATAGATGTGAATTAAACTTGAATTTAATTTTTGGCAGGTCAGGCTCACTAAAAGGAAAATGGTTATGAAAGATGAAGTAAAGAAGAGGTCACCCACCCTACTCCTGAAGGGTTGCAATCCAGCCATTCTTCATCAGTCATCAGATGAGATTCTTGGATCAATTAGATATCAGCAACCAAACATGTTGCTGATATCTCTATGCACTTAAAGAGCATAGAGTTACAAACAAGGAGGCCAGTCACACCACAACATGTTTGGTTGCTGATATCTAATTGATCCAAGAATCTCATCCAGCTAGTATATCAGCTTCAACAGCAGGGCTGGGTAACTTCCTCCAAACTCCCACAAACCTTTAATTAAATAATATGTTCTTTCTGTCTTGTGCTTCACTCCATTTTTCAAGTATTTGATTCAGTGCCCCTAATCATTAAGTTTTTAGCTTGCCAGTATAGGACATTTCTGTAAGCTCAGGCATAGATCTGGCTGCTCTTTTTGTGAGCTGATCCAGCACAGAAGTCTTTGTAATGTGGTGGCCAAAGATTCTTAATCTTGCACACTGTTATTAATGAGGACTTACTAGTTCTTGTACATCTTTTACATAACACTCCTCTTATTTCTATGATTTTTTTTGTCATTTTTTACCTCTCCCTCATTGTGTAGAATATGAACATCTCAACATACTATCTCTTAGATTTTTGTGTCAAACGGTCTCTGAATGACTTCAGTCACCTTATTTGAGCACAAATTGAGAGCTTTAGAAATCAGTCTTTATGTCTATGACCTGCTGGACTGGGGCTCTCCAGGAACAGGGGTGGAGACTTTTGCTGTTAAGAAAATAGGTTTGATAAATGCAATTGAAACTACAGTAGTAGCTGTAGTTTGGGGATTCCAGTTACAGTATATTACATTTCAGGCAGTGATGTTTAATTCGTTTTATGGCTGGAATCTGGCAGCTGTCCTCAGTCAATATTTCAAGCAGACAGCGTGGCAGATGTCACTGGGGTCATGTGCTCTACCTCCATTGCCAGCTTTGTTTATGAGCAGTGGAAGTTATTAGACTTTGTATTATGGCATGATGTTGCGCTGCCTGACCTTTCCTGAGTGGAATGGGTGCAACGGGTGTTTTAGCGTCAGGTTTGCCTCCACGTCTTCGTGGACTTGGCTGGCAGTATAACTGGGTGAGAGTTCAGGCAGATTGGGCGTCATTAGTGTACAGAGTATCGCAGGAAACATATAAACATGTCACTTGTGCAAGCAGTTCTTAGAGTTATCACGTACCATAGATGACAATCTTTTATAGCAGGTGCACTGACAGTTTTATAGATTTGATGGAAGTAAATCTGTTATGCTGGTTCGCAGTTGTCATCAACCGGTTGATCTGTAGGGGTTCTACTTCAAGTAATGCAGGATAGTATTATCTGACACATCTGTGCAACTTGTATTGCACCAGGTTCTGTCGACAGGTGTTCTCTGGGGGGGGGGTTGTCCCCTTGCTCTCTCTCACACACTGCACACACATTTGCTCGCTGCTGTCCGAGCCCTAGGTGCCCCACCTTGTCCCGGTCCCACTCACAGCTGTTCGGTGGGGCTCACGTCTGAACAGCCGGGCGTCTACTGCATAACTCATCCTGCAGGAGAGACAGTCACCCAGGCAGGAAGAGGGCGGCAGGTGTGGTCAAAGGACCCGATGCACATAGTGCGGTCAAGCTACTAGTGGTCACTGCAAGTGGAGCTCTGTAGCCAGTATGCACTACGACCCAGACCATCTTTCCAAGACTGAGGACGGGAAGGTTGGTTTTACCCTAAAAGTGTACCGTTCTGAAAATGTACACTTTACACAAAACACCCACTGTAGTCTGTCACAAAACCTTAAATCCCCTTTAGTAATGGCTCTACTGCTAGGAGGTCCACCTGAGCTGATTTAGTCCAGACCCCAACATAGCGATGCCATGAGAGTGTTGTTCTCCTTGTAAGCATGGCATCTTGCTTCCTTTCTGCCTTTTTTCCTTTGGCCAACAGGATAAACCACCCCCTCACCTGTGCCCGATCAGCTCTCCCTCTTTAGTGCTGATGCTGCACTTAAGCTCCCTCAAGTCACAGATCGATCACAAGAACTCCACAAAAATTTAATCAGGATCCAATATCTGTTTAATTGGTTTGTGAAAGATAAAGTGTATATAAATGGTTATAAGTCTCATTCAATGCTGAGATGTTAAGGTTCTCCTGCACCAGAGGAATTGGACTGACAGTGTGAAACACCTACAGGCATCTAAGTATGTCAATGTGAATTATCAGAGAATCTGCAAACTGTGTATTAAGCAAGAAAGAGGCAAAATTATTTTTTTTCAAAACAGAGTTCTTATCTAGGATGTGACATTTGTCCTTGTAGAACACTTAAACATAATTCTGACAGTTTATATTGCAGCAGAGGGAAGCTAATGCTCATGGATTCCTTGTGAAAGGCTAGTGTAGGCAGGTGGTCCCAATCGCTGATTCTATAAAGGCTTCAGCTGTCTGAAATTGTGTAGAGCAGAGTTTGTGATGTTTATCCCCACCTCAGTGCTTTCTTTAAGAAATCAAAAGGTGTGTCACATGTGGCTTGATTGTCTGAGTAAGTGGTTATCAATTAGGACACCAACTCTGCTGTCCTTAAGAACAAACAGTTCTTAAGCATGTATTGATGTCTGAAGCAGAGTATATGATGATGGCAACTCGGAGATGTCTTATAATTGTGTCTGTTCTCTGAGATAAATGCTAGGATATCTTAGAATTCAATGTTTCCTTTCCTGAAGTACTGTGCCTTGCTAATTCTGGTCCTGTCATTGCGTGCTGTAGTCTGGTATCCTAGCAGATCTGCTACTCCCAGCATCCAGTCATTCCATTTGATTAATAGCACTACGCTGCTAATCAAGGAATACCAGTCAGATGGTATTGCAGTTTATTGATCTCTTGCTGGGACTGGGGAGCCCCTGCAGAGAGGCTCTTTGCACAAGCCCTGTTGTGGATGTTCTCTGTTTCAGAAGTACAGTAAGGTCTTTAGTCTTTACACAATTGTGAATCAACTGCATACAAAACCAATGTATTTGGGGGCTTTTTGGATGTGCAGATTTGTGCAAGTACCTTCAGATGAGTTTGAGACCTTGCATAATCTGTCACTCATTTGAGCATTCCGCTTACAGTGTTACTGTAGCTTGAGATAAAGATGCACGTTTAATAGCATTCCCTACACCAGAAGTGTGCCCGGTATGATTCAAGATTCAAGATTTCTTTATTTGCCATATACAACAAGTGTATTGGAATGCTTACTTGTTCAGCTGTACCCAGGAACATAAGAGGAAAAAAATAGGCACAAGTGATAAACAGACATGGACAATACAGCCAGGACAGGACATAGTGCAAACAGTACAGTACCTTAAAGTGCAGGTGCTAATTTGAGCTGTTTAAGATGTGGACTGCTTGGGGGAAGAAACTGTTTTTGAATCTATGGGTCAGTGTTCCGATACTGCGATACCTCCTGCCAGAACCCAGGGGTGAAAACAGATCAAGGCCAGGATGAATTGGGTCCCGAAGAATAGCCCGAGCCCGGTTGAGGCAGCGGTCGAGATATATCCGGTCGATGGAGGGTAGCTCGGTCCCAGTGATTTTCTGAGCGGACCTCACAATCCTGTATTTCTGTGCTGTACTGTGGCTCCACCATACCACACCACACTCTTGGTTAGGATGTATCTGGACAGTTGTGTAAGACTTCAGAGCATTTGTTAGTATTTTTCCACATGTGGCAACAGAACCAGTTTTCTCATTTAACTTAAATGGCTGTAATTGAACACGATCAGTTTTATTCTGAAGTGGAACAAAAAGCATTATTCAAAACGTACACAAATAAAGTAAATACAGATGCAGTGTGAAAACGCATGACGCAAGTCTGTATGTTAAGAGCTGGTTAATTTAAGTCAAGTCGTGTGAAGTATCAAGCTTTTAAAATGGATCTGGTGAAATGCTGTTATGTTCTATATAAAAAATGGATATGGAGGAGAAAAATGCAGAGTGTATGAGCAAGGGCTGATTATAGCATAACAGCGAGGACAAAAGTCTCTTCTAAACGTAGAGGCATCTAAACCTTTTTGTCAGTCTTGCAAAGTTTGTGCTTTTTCTTCCTGCCCTGGATGTTCCAGTGAGCTCCTCAAGATGGCAGACGGCGGGCAGATTTCCCTGGACTGGTTTGACAACGACGACAGCGAGCGCCACCCTGACGCAGCCACGAGGCCCACGGTGCTCCTGCTGCCGGGCCTCACGGGAACCAGCCGGGAGTCCTACATCCTCCACATGGTCCAGCAGAGCCGGGAGCTGGGCTACAGGTACGTGCTGCCGGGCCGCATGGACCGGAGGACCGAGCCTGCTCCGGGGGAAGACGAGCCCTCCTTCGAGAGGCAGCGGCCCACACAGCCAGGGATTTTATTTTATTGTCCCGCCTTGATACTGGACAGCGTTTCTCCTGTTGTCTGCTGAGGCTGTCAGCTTACAAAAAAAAATTGAATATGACAAATAGACCTTTGACAAAGTACAGGTGTTAATGTGGAGGAACTAATGAATACAATACATCACATGACTTGTGAACTTTACTGGATATTTGTTAAAGAAGTAGTTCAATGGAACCTGCCTCTAGATGTGCTTGCTGTTAATCACTTGGAGACTTCAAATAAAATAACGCAGAATAAACCTGAGTACGTTTCAGAAAGAAGCGATTTTGTCCCTCACTTGAAAAAAGGAATGTAAGCAGTTAATTTACGTGTTCAAGCCAAAATACCCCCAGGAAGTTGTACAATTAGGTGGGCTGGAGCAACTGGGGTGAAGTACCTCACTCAAGGTCCAACAGCACTGTGCGGCAGGGACTCGAACCCACAACCCACCAGGCATGAGTCCAGAGCTTTAGCAGCGGCTTGAGAAATGCTTGGCATAAGAGGCTCAGTGTTTTCTGGGACTGCTTCAGGATTAAAGCACCCTGAATGGGGGCTCGTGCTGCTTTGTCTCTGCTCTCTGAGTCTGGAAGATCATGTGCGCATTGTTGGAACACGAGGAGCTGCTGACTCTGCAGAACTGTATTAAAGACTTTCCAGGAGTGCAATTTATTAGAACAGTTGAACTCATTCTTTCAAACTGATTGCGTAAGACGTTAAGGGCAACTCAGCACCTTATTACATTTGCTTGAGTCTTTGTAGATTAGTGAATTATAGCTTACACCTAGCAGTTTTAAGGCTTAGTCTACATGCTTAGCTGCCTCACAGCTGATGCCCACATGCTAGTGTAAGACTTTTTGGAGAAAAGTAGAGCACTGATGCTAACTGAATGTGCAGGGAAAGGGGTACTTTGAGGTCATTCAGTTCCACAGGGGGACAGAGGAGGAGGGAGTTGCTTGCGATGCCTCTTGTGGATAGAAGACGCTGTCAGCAATGTGAAGCAGAGGATTTTTCACTGTCTCCCTTTGTGCTTCTGCAGCAGGTTTAAGAGAAAGGGAGGGAGTGCGATGAAGGCACACACCTGGCTTGCATGTTTCTGCAGGACTCGGGTTTCATTACAAGAATGAAAACGATGTGTCTGTTTTTACTTTCAGGTGTGTCGTATTCAATAACAGAGGGGTGTCCAATGAGAGACTTTTGGTAAGAAACTCTGTACCTATAAAGTTTAAAATAATTATTTGATTGCTGGTAATATAGGTGGCTTTTGCTGATGAAAGCCACATTTTGAATAAATGCTTCTGTTCAAAAACACTTGAAGCAACAGGAAAATTCCTTTTGCCTGCCCTAATGGAATATTTGAATGTTCCCTATTGTGCTGTACGTGGTGGTGAACTTTTGAAAGAGTGAAGATATTGAATGTGGGTGAATTGTTCTTTCGTGGGTTGAATTGAAGCTGAAAAGAAGAATTTAACTACTCAAACAGGCTGGATGGACAGTGACCTCTCCTAAGTAGACGACTGTGAATCAAGCCGGCTGACAGCTTTGCATAAGGGTTCTAAATTTGATTCCAGAAACAAATGCAGCTGCTCTGTAAAGTCCCCTCCTCCTGCTGCTAGCCACTACAGGAAATCCCCTCCTGTGCAGATCCTCTGATGCACTTTTGCTTCAGCGCTATGGCAGATGAGGTTATTGCAAAAAGAAAAAGAAAAGCTCTGTCCTCTGTGCTCCCTTGAAAGGTGAAAGGCTAGTGTAGGCAGGTGGTCCCAATCGCTGATTCTCTAAAGGCTGTCTGAAATTGTGTAGAGCAGAGTTTGTGATTTATATCCCCACATCACTGCTTTCTTTAAGAAATCGAAAGGTGTGTCACATGTGGCTTGATTGTGGCACAACCTTCACGTCATGAATGGTACATCCTCAGATCCTCTAGTAAACCTTCCATGGATTTGTGAATTCCAAAGGACCGATTTTGCTCAAAAATTCCTTTAAAAGTGTTTTATTGTGGTGCAATAGGGAGGTAATGAGAATGCCACTGTGGCTTCATGGAGTAAATGACTGTGCAGTTCACAGAATGGTACCATACCTCTTATATGTTGCCAAAGTGAAGTATAAAACTTCTTACTCTCACTATCAAATCACTAAAATACCAAGAAATGTACAAATATATGCAGAAGACCTGCTTTTTGGTCCTGTATTGAGTTGTGCTTAAAAAACATTGCAAATTGGTTCTTGAGTTTTGTCTTGCATCGGTGTTGTGGTGAAATTGTCACCATTGACAAGCTACGGCAGTCCCAGTGAAGGAGGGCCGATGTGTCTCCTTCACCCGCCCAAAGGTTCAGTGTGAGCCTGAGCCACGGGTGTAGATTTTGTCTCTCCATTGTCTGCACCATCATGGGTTTGGGTCTGCCGAGCAGTGTAATGCCAAACAGAAGTCTTACTGATTCAGTAAGTGAAAAGATCTTTTGTCAGGTTCCGTTTTGTCTTTTTTTTTGTCCTGTGGATACCTTCCCTGTAAGTGCATTTTATTGCTGCGGAAAAATGCTGATTTGTTTGCTCCCTGCTGTTTGAGAAGATGCATTGTAGCTGTGAAAGTGTTCCTTTCTTTGGATTTAAACATTGATTCACCTTGTATATTTCAGAAGTCCTGAGAAAAATAAAAATTAACATTGGATAAAATCCTCTTCCTTTCTGAGCGGTCCGTCAACCTCCTGTGAAAGTTGAGTTTTGATTACTCATCTACTGCACGTCACAAAAAATCGTATATTGTTGTTATACACTTGTGTTCCAGCGTTGCTTCACGAAGAAAAGTCACAAATCCAGAACTCGTAGGTCATGGGTTTTTCTTTGACTCCTTATTCAGGATTCGCCTGAGCACCTGTGGGAGGAGGCGTGTTTTCCCTCTCCCCCTGTCGTATACAGGCAATGCCATCTATGTCCCACTCTTAAGAGGCCCTGAGTGGCCTTGGGCCTTGGCAGACTCTATTAATAGACATTGAAACACCATGAGGAACTGTGGATGGTGCCTGCATGCTCTACTTAAAATCATTAACACTGCAGTTAAAAATTCATTTCAAACATTTTCACTCTCACAGGATGCACACTGATTCTAATGATACATAACCCAGACTAATTACACTTCCTCGTTTGACACTGTGGTCCTTTATAGTGTCAGCTCAAGTTCGCTGTCGAAGGAAGTGTTATGTTTGTGTCTTGGGATGGACAGCCTGTGAGCAATGTACAAGTCCACTAGAAGCTCCTTATTTTTTCATTTGTATTTAACCAAATTAACAACATGTATCCTTAAATACAAAACCCTTCTGTACTTGGTAAGCATAAATCAATAGTTCATTAGCCAGTTATTAGGGGACCTCATTGCTTGCTGTGGGGCCTTTAGTCCTTATTAACAATGAAATTCTTTGTCTTTTTGTTTTAAAACGCTGGTCTGCTGCCATTCCTCTTCCTCCTGCTTTTTCTCCAACCACCCACCTTCATCAGGACAGGGAATACTTAGGTGGTGATTGGAAAATGTCAAACAATGGCAGCAAAACGTTTTCAATAAATGTAGGACTTGTTTTTTTTTCGTACTTCAAGACATTAATGAAAGTATGAATTCAATTTCAGTCATCCAGTGCTTCCCTTTGAAATGTTATTTTTTCTTATATTGGGTTAACTTTGAGTGTGTGGATGCCCTTACATTTTTATACTCCTCCACCAGCTCTGTTACTGAAGTACAGCATTGTCCTTTTATTTGTGTGGCATGACAGTCACTCATTACTGCTGATGTTGTTGTTCTTGACTGGAGAAAGCCTTACAACACCCGGTCTGTCTGCCTGCACCCTCAGATCCAGCTGGGGTTGGAACTGTGATAGGCCAATTAATTCAGAGTCGCTTGTAACTCTTGGAAAGTAAAAGGCCCATTTAACACAGATCAGAAATGCAGACCTTCCCATCTGAGTTCTGTTAGTTCAGTGGTGGCATCGCAAAGCTCTGATAAGAGGGCCTCCCTCTGACCAGAATTGGAATAGGGGATTAGCCCTTATATGCATACTCTACATGTGCAAACAGGACAGTAAGGTAGTACGGTCAGGCGTTGCTTTCGTTTCCCGCCTGGCCCGTTGGCGTCTCGGTTCAGCAGGAAGGGCTTCTGTGCTCCATGCTCCTCCTGCTGGCGGCTGTGTGCTGGGCTCCAGTGACGGGTGGGAGGTTGGTGGCCTTGTGACTGAAACGTCTGCATTTTTCAGACCCCTCGGACCTACTGTGCTGCCAACACCGAAGACCTGGAGGCCGCTATTGCGCACATCCAGAGTATAACCTCAGCTGCTCCGCTGGTGGCGGCCGGGGTCTCCATGGGGGGGTGTGTATGCAAGCGTTTCTATCTCTAAGTTGCACCCGATTGTTTTTCCTGGTCTCGTTTCTACTGACTCCACTGATTGATATCAGCCCTTGCAGAGCTGCTTTTGTACATATCCGCTTCACGTACGACAAGCAGAAGGAGCTTTTTAATGTAGCGCGCCTGCCAATCGTTCTGCAGCGTGATTGGACTGGTACCCTGTGACCGTGCCTGGTGTAGGCTGTGCCAGAGCTGCTACCAGAGTCATTGCCTTCCTGTGTCCCTTCACACACAGACTCGTTTCTGCAGCCCTGGAGTGCATGCCCTCCTGCCAATGTCAAGGGCACTTTGCTCCGGCCGGACCATGGTGTTCCATGTGTCTTGGCAGCACGGTGCCCTGGGAATGCACTTCTGTGGTCAACCGCAAGAGGATTTGTTTTTTGTTTGTCCCAGCTGCCTTAGGAATAGCACGTTCTCTGATAGCGAGTGGAGTCACCTGCTGGATGCCCCATTCATATTTCCTCTTCACAGGTGTCATGCTCCGTCAGAAGCATGAAAAAAAGTCTGGTGTGATTTGGATTCTGAATTAGTCTGAACGAATAGGTGATTTAGTGCTTTATGGCTTTATTGAACAGCCCAGCTGTTTCACAGTTAGTTATGAATGATTCATAAAAATATTACGAAAACCCTATCAAAATATCTGCATTCTTTATTTGTTTTTGTTGTTTAAAAAGTAGTGTGCTCACTATATTTTGGTACTCAGTATAGGCAGTATTATTGGTCACCTATTCTTTGTTCCACTTTGGTTGACTTGCTGTGGCCCAGAAGCTTTCAGTTGGAGCTGTCTGCCAGAGTTTTCTAGCTGTTTAGCTGCCTATATTCAGGCAATGATGGGTTCAGTGGGATCGATCGAATCTGAACCAGAATAACAGAGCTCTTGAACCTGAGCTGGGCATGCTTGGTTTTGCACAGACTTAATATGTAGAGGTCATAAGGAAGTTCTAAACACCTCCCATTACTAGTGTAGATGGGATAATTTCTTCACATTTCCCTTAAAGACTTCTAATCACTGTAAATAGACACACCAGGTGAATACTTATTAGTTGGATATTTGGTGATGGACTTAGACACATTCTCTTAGGGGTATGATGAGGTGTTTGCTATATAAATTATTTTAGTTAGAGGTTGAGCTTTAGAATAACAGATTTTGTATGTGTCTGGGGAGATTATTCCACAGTAAAGCCTCCTGAACTGACCAGTAGAATCTTTGTAAGTTTTGTGGGGCCAGTCATAGAAATAGAAATGCTTCAGTTTAAAAAACCTGTCGCCAACAGCCAGTGAAATTCTACACGCCCACAAACCGGCGGTTTGTCTTCCTCCGCAGGATGATGCTCGCCAACTACCTGGGCCAGAAAGGCAGGGAGACGTGCCTGAGAGCCGCGGCTGTGTTCTCGGCCGGGTGGGATGTGTTTGAGTGCACCGCGTCTCTGGAGAAGCCACTGAACCGCCTGCTGTTCAATTCCTATCTGACCAGCTGCTTGCAGGCCTCTGTCCAGAGGTCAGTATTAACGAGCTCTTCCTGCCCAAGTGACTATAATCCCCTCCACCACCACCACCACCAGTGTGCAGCCCCACCTGGATGATGCACCAGTCCTCTCCCCACACACCAGCTCTCAGTGGGGAGGAGAGCAGAGTGATGAAGCCAGTTCAGAGATGGGGATTATTAGGAGGCCATGATTGGTAAGGGCCAATGGGAAATTTGGCCAGGACACCGGGGTAACATCCCTACTCTTTTCAAGAAACGCCCTGGGGTTTTAAATGACCACAGAGAGTCAGGACCTCGGTTTTACATCTCATCCGAAAGACGGCGCCTGTTTATAGTATAGTGTCCCCGTCACTATACTGGGGCATTAGGACCCACATGGACCTCACGGTGAGCGCCCCCTACTGGCCCCGCTACCACCTCTTCCAGCAGCAGCCTTAGTTTTTCCCAGGAGGTCTCCCATCCAGATACTGACCAGGCTCACACGTGCTGGGCTTCAGTGGGCTTCCAGTTGTGAGCTGCAGGGTGACATGGCTGCTGGCTTGTCCTGCACAGTCCCAAAACGATCACTCCCAAAAAGCTTCTGAAACAGCTGCTATGGGCCCTACCTTATATGTCAGCCCACTTAAAAAAAAAAAAAAAAATGGCCTGTGTGAGGTTAACAGTTTGAATGAGTCTTGACCTGAAGAAAGTAGGTGAATGTAATTTAAACCAGGGTGTCTAATTCTCAACGGATGATCATGTTTGTCTTTAACATAAGGCAGTACCTTGCAATTAATTTTTAACCTTTTAAAAGTTGTTGTTTGCTTTAAAAAAGGACCTGTTGAGTTCCTATACAGCTGGGTTCAGTCTGAGCAAGTCCATCGGCAAGAGGCACATGGGGTTGTGGCAGACAAACATGGGATCCATGCAGCTACACCCCCCTGCAGATGAGGCTGGGTCGCTTCTTATTGTGATTCTCATCCCTCCAGAGCTGCTGCAGGGGTTGCAGATCAAAAGCCAAGTTCCTTAATAGTTGGTGCTTCTGGATTGAAGAGTATAAAATAAAAAACAAGTAAATGGCAAATATTGTTTGCCTTTTTATCCTCCGGGATGAAAGTTACTCATGAAGATAATGGCCATTATCAGGCCCAGCTAGTTATACTGAGACACTGTCAAAGGCATCAGGATTGGATTCCGCACTTGATCACTTTGCTTCACACCTCACGCTAATCTGCATAATCTAGTAGGTCAAACATACTAGACTCTGTTTCCATGTGCCTTTGTGAGGCAGGCCGGGAGAACAGAGCCTGGCGTCTCTCAAGCTCACAAGCGCCTGAGCCAGCAGTTCTTCACTGCAGCACGCTGGTGTTCTGTCATGGTTTACAGGTGCGAGAGCAGGGCGACGAGACAGTGTACTGTACTGTGAGGAGCGTCTTTCATACCGTACGCAGGAAATTAAAGAAATGTGCAGATGAAACACATGCAGCCTTTTTTTTTGCTTTGGGAGAGTTTTTTCTCAAACTCTCCAGGTCATGCTTCTCTTGTTTTTATAGTGTTAGCCCACCCTACCACCCATTTAAAACGCAACCGTCAAACCCACACTCCCAGTTCATTTCCTAATTAAACTGATAATCGTATACTATTATATTCCATATTTATATTATTTTAATATAGTGAGTGCCAATACCGTGATCATGCAAACTGATAATATCCTGCAATGTTTTATATAAATTTGATCTACCTTTACACAGGTAAACAATAAATACAACAAGATTAGTTGGATAATAACCGTAAGGCATGAATTCTGTTTTTTAGTTCAGCTTAAGAGCCCATATCTGTAGGGGGACTGGGACAACAGACACCTGTAAATGGTAAATGGTAAATGGTGTGTGGGGTGTACATTGTGGTTGAGACAAGAACCTTTTAATCTTAAGATAACTGGTTGTTTTTTTTCCTACAGACACAGGCAAATTTTGGAGAAGCTTTTCGATATTGACTCTATAATGAAGGTGGGTGCAGTTTTGTGTGCGAGGTGTGCACGTTTTAGAAAACTGATGTCTGCTGGTTTTGAAACATGAAATAGATTTAGCTATGATTGCTGGTTCCAGACTACCCGATGACAAAGGCACATTTTTTTATGGTTTAAGAACCACTGCGGTAAGGGATTTGTGAAATCAAGGACCGAGTACAGAAAAAAGCCAAACCTGCAAATGGTTAGGATAATACCCGTACCATGCCTGTAGATACAGCTGAGACAGCAGCCGGGAGAAGTGAAAATGACAAATGGAAGAGAGAGCCTGTGCTGGAGACTGTTCGGGTGACTTGCCGAGGTTGTGGATGTTGCAGGCGAACACCATCCGGGAGTTTGACGAGCGATTCACTTCGATCATGTTCGGATACCCGTCCAACGATGACTACTATCGGGACGCCAGCCCCTGCCACAAGCTCAAGTCCGTGCAGGTCCCCACGCTGTGTCTGAACGCTGCCGACGACGTCTTCTCCCCGGGCGGCGGTAAATACAGGGGCCTTTCGCACTCCCGCTGACTTCACACCTGCAAAGCAGAAGTCTGTTTCTGCCTTTCTCCCCCGTGCAGTAGAAAGAGCTCCTTCGTGTTGACTCCCAGGAGCTGCTTGCTGTTAAAAAGCACTGTAAGGGTATATGACATATAGTCATGTACCGTTCGTGGTATTTCTGTAATTGTTCAGCTTTGGATACAGAATCACATCATTCAAGGAATCCTGGATGTGTGGACTACCAATTGGTCTACTCCTGTTAGATGATTTATTGACATTTGTGCACCCAGTATAACATTACCCCTGGTTAACATTGACCAGAAAAGTATTACAAAACATGTCAACAGCTTTGCGAGTTTTTCTGTGAATGTGTTTTCCCCTCACAGCAACATTATAAATTATTAATCAAACAGTTCTGTTTTTATGCAGAGTACTGGTTTAATCTATATTTTGTTTATTTCTGGCCCTGTTACAAGATCAATGTGTGAGGAACACAGGTTTTCACTATCAATAATGGCATTGAAGCTCCTAAATATATATATATATTATTGGTCTTGTTGCACAAATGTAGCCTCTTATGAAAGAAAATGGAATTCGTGTTGTGTGAGTGGAATTGAACCCACCAAATACTCCCAAGACTGCATGCAGTTCACAGTACGCTGTGCTGTAAACCCTTTGAAAGGCTTATGGCCCAACACACCTATTCACAGTGCTGACTGCACTCTTGTTTTTTGTAGCTATTCCAGTGGAAGCTGTGAGGCAGAACCCCAACCTGGCCATGCTCGTCACTGCTCATGGGGGCCACATTGGGTTCCTGGAGGGCCTGTGGCCCCGACACAGCACCTACATGGACCGTGTCTTCAGGCAGTTCATTAAGGCCATCTTTGAGCAAGGAAGCACACTTCAGAACCTCTGACACCTCGAGTCCAGCACTTTGTCCAGTTTCACCACCCAAAAACATGGAACAGTAATCTCTTAAGGGCACATCACTTTCAGCACACAAAATCGAAGTTCATTCAGTTAAAACAAAGATGGCAGATAAGTTATCAACATGTTTAGCACCATCTCAGTTTTGTCTACACAATTACTGCAGTGTGAAACTTGCTTTTGGAAGTGCAACTCATAAGTTTAATACCATCCTTACATTGTATGTTACTTTACTAATTACCTCTTATTTTAAACAAATGATTTACTTAACGGTAGGTATTAGTCCTCAGGGATTTTGTTTAATTGCGCACACAATTTCTTTAAATATTTTATTTTTTTTACAGATAATATTTTTAATGTCACAGAAAAAGATCACAACAGGTGTTTGGTTTCCTATTGAACTGTAGTGTTACGCATGTATTTTTCCACACATTATAGCACTGCACATACCAAATAGTTCAGATATATTCAAGCTGTATGACAGAAGTGTATCTTGATTTAAAAATGACAAGGAATGTGAAATTGCACTTCTTCAGTTTAGATAATTTCTCAAATAAATGCACTTGGAGACATGTCTGTTTTGGTTTAATTTGCATAATTTGCTTTGTGAAGTTTGTGTAACTGTCCTGAACATGACAAATAGCAAGTATTGTATTGCAAGAAGTAGCACAATGTTTGGCTTCTTTTATACTGCTGAATCTACTTATATTTATCAATTTACTGTATCTCATAGTATGTAGTTCTCATGCAGCAATATGATTTTAATTTAAAAATATGAATATATACTCAGATACATTGTAACTGCATACACTTAAATAAAATAAGCTCAGCAATAAGCTCTCATTCATTGATTCATTTTGCCAAGTTTTACACTTGTCTTATGTAGATTTCTTGTCCCATGATGGCCTGGAATCTTGTTTTAGGGCAGAAAAGTGTCGACAAGTGTCTCTGAATCTTTGCTGAATATTCAGATGTTATTAGATTGTCAAATGGTGTTTGACGGCGACGTAAAATGTTTGCGTGTCACGTACCAATTTGTGTGACAAATGTGACATTTTTCGCATTTTCAGGTATCTCCTGCTTTCTTGGTATTATGAAACCAAGCACAGCTTAATCCACAAAATCTTTTGAAGCGTAATGGCTAACAAATTCCCCCTTTCTTTCAACTGTTGATAAAAGCACAAACTGTCTGGTGCCACTGTTTCTCCTGGAGCAGCTGTCATTTTAGGTCAGGACACTGAACACGGAGTGCGAAAAAGGGGGCACACTCTCCGCAGCTTTGCATGCTAGCTTGGGTCTACATATCGGACTACATATTGGTCCAAATGAGTCGTTTTATCATCTTTACCCAGCTTTCAGATTTCAAAACAACTATGAAACCTGAAAATTCGAAGCCTTCCAGGATTGAAGTTGGACACCCCTAGTTTGTGGTCAGTTTGGCCAGCACACGATTTGGGGCTTCATCTTAGCACTGAATTTAGACCATTAGGTTGCTTTTATTGTTCTCTGAATGGGATTTTCAAAACCAAATAAGGATTCTAATATCACAAAGAATGGCTTTATATAGCAAAAGGATACCAGTTCAAAAATATCACCTACATTGCTAGGCATCAAGAATGAAATAGAATTACCGTTTTCATCTGCTGCATTTACATTTCACAGGAACTTAATGATGGGAGTGTACACATTCTGTCCGTGAGCTTAATCTAGTCACATTCTGTACTGTGACTAAATTTGATCCCTGAATTTTAAGTAATGGTTTCAGTTACCTGATTATATATGGAGTAGAGACATCTTGTGGCGGAATAATAAATTAATATCCTGTGAATTCTGATTTTTAATGAACTTCAAGTACAGTACATGCGTGAAAAGAAGTTGTATATCGTGTTTGTTCAAAAGCATTGATTTTCAAATATGATTAAAATGTTGTATGAATACAGTCTTTGAGTCACAGCAGATAGTAATAATTGCAGTTGACGCAAGACTGCTACTCTCCACAGAGACTCTTTCAGCTGAGTTTCCAGTTGACAAGGTAGGATTCTATAACTGCCAAAGCGCAGTTCAGTTTATCTTTCATATGCACAAGTGCAATGAATTGCTTTTTCGCATGTATGACCTGGCACAGTCAACTCAGCACAGTGTAACGAAATGATGCAATAAAACAACAATACAATACAGTCAGTACAGTATACAGAATTGCTCACAGTACAGAAGATACAAAAACAAACAATGAACAGTACTCAAGAAGATGTACTGCACAGTATAAATATAATCACCCAATGGACATTTAATCACCCTGACAGGGTGGTTAATATTCCTGGGGCATTAATTAAAGACACTGAATACTTAATTAGTCATGCAGTGAATACCAATTAATAATATGTGAAGAATGGCCCAAAACACAAGCAAAACAAAAAGAAGACACTGTCTTCCGCGTAGTCACCTCTGAACTCAGTTAGTTTGATCCCTGTATAAATTATTTAAAGAATGAACATGGGACAAGACTGGACCTATATCAGATCGCCAGTAATACATCTGTGCTGTACACTGAAAAAAGGTGTAACACAGAAACATCGGAATCCCGTCACAACTTTATCTTCAGTGAAAGACAGGGTTTCGTACTTTTCGCACATCCAAAACGAACTCGCAAAAATACACGAAGAAACGTATTGTAACGCAGTTAATTCTGAACACGTCGACAAACGCACGATGTCAGTGCAAACTACCGGTTTTGCGCTCAGAAAAATATTAAAATAAATCGAGGGCGCTTTGACGCGAAGAGACCCGGACCCGCCACCGCGACGCACCGTCTCGGCCTCCAGCTTCCGCCTCTCGACTTCCGGCCTGGTGGCTCCGGAAGTGAAGCCAAACTTTCGGTGTGCAGATGAAACAGCTGCGATTGAGAAACACAGACTGGAAAGAGTTTTTTTTTCTGGGGGCCAATAACGACGAGTCTGCTGTTTTAACAGCAAAGGTTAAAAATTACACATCTCTGAAAATTTAAGCAATTCTAATTTTTTTTAATGCTCAGCCACAGTTTTATTTTTTTTGTCTATTTTTTTTCTCTTCCCTCCCGGTTAGCTACCGAGAGCTTTTGCGTCCTTCGGCAGAGATGTATCACCTGAACCGAAATAATGAGTTGATTACATAGTAAAACTTTGCTACTGTGTGCACCGGGGCTGACATATCGGTGTTTTCTTTAATCGACATCGTGGATGTTTCTGAAGACACGGAAGCAAGGTCTGTACTCTTGCACGACACAAGGGCGCTATTTCGATATTAAATATTTCGACTTTTTTTCTTTTGTGCATGTTTGTTCGTGTGCTTGAGATTTAGTTTGAGATATCCCGTGTAGCTAAACGTGCGGTATTGAAAGCTGTCTCTGTACAGTTGTTACACGGATGCAGGTTTCCAGATACAGTGAATTCCCTTAGCTAATGGGAATAATGTCTTGTTCAGGACGTCGGCTCTGATCAGTTGATGGGAAGACAGCAAAAGTGCTGCTCCTTTAATTATACAGTATGTCTGCTAAATCTGTTTTGTTGTACGTGTAAACAGAGGCCACAGGTGACATTCAGAACACGCTATCGAGACATGTCTCACAGTTGAGTCACAAAGTGGCTGGGCCTGGCTGTTTTATCAGTCTCTCCATAGCAGGGGCTATGGTGTAGACCCCCCCCCACAGCATGAATTATCTTTTTTAAAACGTCCGGACTAGCACATTGTCGTGCATTTTCATCTTCTTAGAGACATAACTTGGACTGAGTGTCTTGCAAAGTTGTGTCATGTGCTGTAGCGCAAAACATCTTGACCGCTGTTTCGGGGGGGGGAGGGGTCATGAAGCTTTTTGTGACAGCGGGAGTGACGGGTTCGAGAGAGATGAAGATGTCATTACGGTCGCTGCGGAACGGCAGGGCAGCATGCATTGCTGTGTGTGAACTCGGACGTGCGCCTGCATGCAGAGCCCGGCATTAACATTCAACCATCGGCGCCGGGAGAGGTGATCACACTTAAATCACATACTGACTACAGTGGTGGGAGTGAAACCTGTTATTAAAGCCGTTCGCCCTTTTGAAAAAAGTTCCTGTATGTTAATGGCACATTAGCTGGCGGGCTACCACTGCGCTGAAGCCGAGGTTGCTCCTCAGAGACACAGATCTGAGAGCTCGGAACAGATGCAGAACATATCGATAGCGTGGATAGCGTGGAGAAGTGAAAATCGACATTGAACTGAAAGTGGTCTTTACGATGAACAGAATGAGTGCGGTGCAATTTAAAAACCCATGAACAGTTCGACAAATGCGAAGTGTGAACCTAAATCAACAGAACTGAAAACATTGGTTAGAATTTTGTTTTATAACTAAACAGTGGTTGGGGTTATAGATAAATGCACCACACAGTGAGCAGGAGTTCATTTTAGTTGACATAATTAAACAAAATGAAGTCTAGTTCCACGTGAGTTCTAATGACGTTTCTTTATTAGAAAACTAATGTGTTGCCAGCTCCTGCCCTCAGGATCTGTAATCTGGTGGTTCTCCATGTTTATTTAAATTGTTTGCTTAAACTGGCAACATGTTAAATTTGAAGGAAGGGGTTGATTGGTCTTAGTGGTCTTAATGTCCTAATTGGACCAATTAACACTTCTTCCAGATAAAGAATACCCAAAGTGACATACTGTAGAAACCCTGCTGACTCCACGGCCCCAGGACTGTGTTAAGGACCCCCTGGTGTTTAAATTCCCGATTTTTCATTGTCGGCTATTGGTGTGACACACCTCTTCTCTGATTGTCCCTCTCCAGGATGCCAACGCAGAAACGAAAGTCCGTCTCCCTGGAACCTCAAGCCAAGAAAAGCAAAGTGGAGCAGAGGGCCAAGAGAAACGCACAGGGCTCGGTGCCGTCAGCCAGGCCCCTGAGGGGGGCTTCAGGCCATCCTCGAGCCAAGAGCAGGCCACTGGCAGCGGGGGGTCGCAGGGAGCCCCTCTGCCGGCCCTCCAGGGGTACGGGCTCCCAGAAGGCAGCTGCCGGGGGCAAGCAGAAGCCCGTCCGAGTGACGGGCGCGGAGAGGCCAAGCTCGAGGGCTCGCCTGAACGCTGCGCCCCGGGTCCCCAGCTCCCCAGAGAGAAAGGAGGCTGCGGCTCCAAGGGCAGCGTCAGCCGGGCGTGTGCGGAGGGCTGGCCGGCCCCAGCCGGTCCACAGCGCACACAGCTCGGTGAAACGAGCACGGGACATCCTTCTTCAGAAGTCGAGAGGCCAGGCGGCAGCTTCGAGACCAGGAGGCGGGAGCGCGATGAAGGAAAGGGACGTGTCCTCGTCACGCGCCAGGGCTGGGAAGGCACAGGCTGCACCGCGGGGAAGGAGCACAAGAGCCAGTCCCTCGCTGAGGAAGGATGGGAACCTAAGGGGATCCTTGAGGTCAAGGGTCAGAGAGCAGCCAAAGATGACCCTGCGCAACAAAGAGCAAAAAGGGGGTCCCTCACACGGGAGGCCAGCGGGGGAGAGAAGCGGGCTGGACGCGGACCCTGCGGCTGACCTAAAGAAAAAGAAAGACTGTGCCGCGCCCAAAGGAAAGTCCAGAGGAGCTGATTGTCGTGGAGCCGGGAGCAGGGGCTGCGATCTGCCGGCGCCCCACCGCTCGGAAGCGCGGGGGGAGAAGAAGGGGGGCGTGGCCAGGGAGCAGGGCGCCGCGGAGGCCGGCAAGACCGATGGCGGGACCAGATGTCCAGAGGAGCACTCGGCACTGCCTCAGAACTCCCCGGGACAGACCTGCAGAACCCCGCCGGGCGTGCCTGGAGAAGTGTCCCCCGGCAGGAAGGAGAAGTCGAACCAGGCATGCGTGGGAAAAGCCTCTCCTCCTCTGGTCGCACTTTTGAAAGTCATCAAGGAGTCAAATCTTTACAAGACCCCCCCAGTGGCTAAAAGTGACTTGTGCATTGTGGCCGACACACAGGGAATAAACAAATGCTGTAGTTCCGTAAAAACCGACTCTGAACCTCTGGAGAAGTGCAAGAGGGACACGGACGGACCTGCAGAGTTTGGGTGCCAGCAAGGTGAAGCAGGCCAGAAACCAGTGGGAGGCGAGGCAAGAACAAAGATGGCTTCCGACACTGCGGAAACCCAGACTGTCAAGGAAGAGAGTCTTCTCGTTCCTGAGCTGCCCGAAGACAGCAGTGACGTTAGAAGTGAGGACAAAGACGGCAGCGCTCCAGACCGGCCGAAAGGCGAGGGGAAATCGGATGCGGATCCTAAGCCTTTGCAGTCTCGGGAAGTCCGTACCTGCGGTGGAGCTGGTTTGCACAATGCAGGGAAGAAAGGCCACGGAAAGCTGAGAAGCAGCCCTGCTCCTCCACGAAAGCAAGAGATGAACCCTCAGGCCAGGACCAAGGCACGGCTGGCCGCCCAGGCTGAAGAGCAGGCCGCAGCCTCGAAGAAGGCCGCCAGGCAGCTGAACCTGCTGGCCCTGTGTGAGGAGATCGCTGAAGACATTGCCTCGGACACGGTGGAGGTCCGGAGGGAGGAAGAGGCCCCGGTGGCGGTGCCGGGTGGCGCGGAGGCCTGCCCCGCTGGCGAGGGTGCTGCCCCCGGGGTGGCCTGCCCGTCCTCCCCTGGCGCGCCGCAGCCGGAGCCCAAGAGGCGCTTCTTCTTGAGCCAGGTCCCGGTGCCGCTGAAGAACGCCGAGAGGAGGAAGCCGTCCCGCTTCCAGAAGCTGAGGCAGGCCGAGCTCAAGCGCGAGCAGCTCAGCTGGACCCGCGTCAAGAAGCTGAAAACGGAGCAGGCGGCTCAGAGGAGCCATCCGGACGGCGGTCCGGCCCAGGACCCGTCCCCCGCCGCTGCTGCCTCGGCCCCCTCCCAGCCCGCCACAGCCACACCGGAGCAGTCGCACGCTGCGGACCGGAAGCCGAAGGCTGCCTTCATGGCGCCGCTGTGCAACGGTGCTGCCAGCAGCCGCCTGAAGCCTGTGGGACCCGCGTTGTGCCAGCCTCGCGCCCGGTACTCCGCTGACGACTTTGAGCTGGACGGGGTGGAGGAGGAGGAGGAGTCTCGCAGAGCAGCTGGCACTGTCGCCCTGCAGAAAGAAGACCCTTCGCTCGGCCTTCAAGACATCAGAGCTGAGGTAAGGCCAGCACTGGTGTCCCGGATGAACCTGAGAATAACGTAACGCAACACACTTCACCAAAGATCTAAATCTCTTTACGCACGTCTCTTGAGGATCTTTCCTTTTCAAAACGTAGCACTTTAAATTTCTGCTATTATTTTTCGCTTACTTTTTTTCCCCACTGGGTTTCAAGTTACTGAATTATACATTCATTGAAAAATGATTCAGCGTAATTTTTCGCAAAAGAAATAAACCACTGGGAGAATTTAAATGTGTGTTCAAAGCAAGGGTAAGAAATTGGTAAATAGCAGTTAAGCAGCATAAGTTCTAGTTTAATTTCCTTTATTGACATTTGCATGAACAGTGCATTGGAAATCTTACACGGTTTCTCTCGGTCAGAAAACAAAAATAAAAGGGTAAGCAGGAAACTACATACACACACTGTAAAAAGTCTATACACAACCTGTATGCACTATTACGCAAAAATAAATTGGCTCCTAAGTTACACGTGATAAAAGACATTGTGCCTATGCAGCTGATAAGCGCAGATATCAAGATCATACAGACAAAAGAGCACATTAATTTCATAGTAGCCTTTTAGAACAGGTTCTTGTGCTCCGACTGGTGTACAGACCATCAGTTTGAATGCCTTCTTTACCAAGAGGAATATTTTAATGATGATATGAATGGTTAGAAAAATTGTGTTCTGATAATAGTTCTGTATTCAGCATGATCATTGTGCTAAAGTCCAGTTTGTCCCTTTAGAATCTTTTTGTATGCTTATTGCCTTTGTTAATTTAAGTATAAGTGAGTACTTCCTGACCTATGTGGCTTACGCTGGCGGCCGAAGAGAGTCTCTGCAAAGACAAGTGACTCTGAAACTGTCTCTCTCTCTCTCAGGCATCAGCGCCCGCCGTGGACTCCAGACCAGCCGGCTCTCCGGGCACCGGGGAGCTGCCTCCGGTGATACTAGAGAAGCTGCAAAACAGCCAGGAAACAGCTGGTGAGTTCGAGACTTTTGCTCACGGTCGTTTGTGGGAGAGTCCTTTGGCACCACGTGTGGCAGTGGTTCGCTTTGCCTCTACCTCTGGGACCCTTCTCCTGCCGTTTCACCTCTTCAACTTGTCCGGACCCATCGTGGCAAATCTCCCCTCTGGTCCTCGACGTGAAGTCTGTAAGGGTGTAGTCATGAAGGCCATCTTCCTTCTGACACAGGAGATTTGTCACTATGTGTAAAACATTCAGATGAGCATTCACTGAACATTGAATATTAAAAAAACAGGGGACGCCTCACAAAACACACTTGTGATTGCATTCCCAGTTCTGTTTCTGAATTAATGACCTAGTGTTCTCTAAAATTAAGTGTCATGTGCTATCATAGAGGGCTTCCATTGAGATGTTCCCCAAAATGCCCGTGAAGGTTGTTTCAGCAGCCCTGATATTGGAATTAAACTGCATGAAACTGGTTTTTAATCACAGATCAGCACAGAGTTTTGCAGGTGATGTTTACCAAGGCATACCATTTCCCTAGTGGCCATTCTTCATCAACATCCTTTAAGACTGACAAGAGTAATAAACAGGGTGACTCCCAGAAGCACCGACAAGCCTGTCATATAGTCGTTAGGATGAGTAATTTATCATGGGCAGCAGTACTTAGAAACTGGGGATATTAAGAAAGCCAACGGAACAGAGTGAGACGAAGAAACTCTTGAAGGTGTTGCCCTATCTGAGGCACAGGTAGTGTGTTCTATTTGTAATTCCAGGAGCAGCTCATTATTTTGAATTATATCCAGCTTTTCAACATGCTGTATTTCACATAGAGTTCATGTATAAGACACAGAGATAATTCTTAGAATTTGTCATGGAAGTTCATCCCTATACTGCAGATGAAACCCTGTTTTAACAGAACATAAAAGTTGTTCAAAGCCTCACAATGCCACTAACTGAGGGTAGGTCCAGTACACTTCCCCTAAAGCCAGGCAGCCAGTAATTTGAGTTTAGGGTATATCTTATTAAAGGGTCACTAGGGGTTGAGCAGCTCTGATTGCTGGTGGTGCAGTCTATAAAGGTTCTGATGCCAATCTGTGAGCTGGGGCTTGAAGCCTGAAGACTTAACAGCCAAAACATTGCCCCTTGTGAGTTGCTGTACATAAAGCTTGTGTGTTTTTGTTCTGATTGTAATGACTTAGATTGTTTTCCCCCAATAGGATTAAAGGGTAACAAACTAGGTTGAAGATCTTCAAGATCTAGTCTAGAGTGCTGGAGTATATTTAGTTCACATACAGCAAAATTCCAGCATATAGCAGGAGGGCAATAGACATCTACACTGTGCTTAAAAATAGTTCAGCATGTGCAATGTAATGAGTATATTTAATAAAAGTGATGCACCCGGACACCCATACTCACACTAGGGCCAGTTTTACCAGAAGCCATTTCACCTGCCAGCATGTTTCTGGATCGTAGGAGGAAACCCACACAGACGTGTGGAGAACATCCAAACTCCACACAGACAGCACCCCGGGTCCCGGTCTGGAATTGAACCCAGGGCCCCAGCGCACCACCGTGTCCCCCTGCTGTTTCAATCATGTTTTAATGTACCGCCAAGTATTCATCGTATTGCAAAATCTGCTCATGCGAGCTACAGAGTACATTGGAGAGGAACCTAATACTATCAAAGTATAAAGTAATACATGTGCATATGGCTCAAGAGTGAAATATGACCTATAAAAAAATCAGTTTAAGGAATGGTTCCAGGAATCTAATTATGTAAATTAAGATCTGACTGAATGGAGCAAGAATCCTAATCGGAGATGCATGAATAGTGTTATAGATCTAGAGTAGTGTTCTAATAATAATTATAATAATTGCTTACACTTATATAGCGCTTTTCTGGACACTCCACTCAAAGCGCTTTACAGGTAATGGGGACTCCCCTCAACCACCACCAGTGTGCAGACCCACCTGGATGATGCACCAGTACGCTCAACACACACCAGCTCTTAGTGGGGAGGAGAGCAGAGTAATGAAGCCAATTTTCATAGATGGGGATTATTAGGAGGCCATGACTGGTAAGGGCCATTGGGAAATTTGGCCAGGATGCCGAGGTTACACCCTTACTCTTTTCGAGAAATGCCCTGGGATTTTTAATGTCCCCATCACTATACTGGGGCATTAAGATCCACACAGACCGCAGGGTGAGCAACCCCTGCTGGTCCCTCTAACACCTCTTCCAAGAGCAGCCTTAGCTTTCCCAGGAGTCTCCCATGCAGGTACTGACCAGGCTCACACCTGTTCAGTGGGCTGCCAGTGGTGAGCTGCAGGGTGATATGGCTGCTGGCCATTCTAGACTGTGTCACTTTGTTTTGATGTCTTCAGTGAAAAAAATATTAATCTGCTGATGTTATCTTGTGCAGTAATTTGCATCTCTTTATTTTTTAAAAATAGTAGCCGCACATCTGGTAACTAACCTCTCTATCTCACCTGCAGGGACAGAGCTTAAACTTCCGGGGCTAAACAGCCTCTTCAACAAGAGTTCTTCAGGAGAAAACTCAAACAAGTGAGTTTACAAACTCATGTTTCCATTTTTTCAATCTTTATCAATAAGTGTGTAACTTGAGTGAATATATCAGTGCCTCACGCCCTTGTCATCTCTGTCCTGTCGTTTTTTGGAAAATATTTCTGTGAAAGGATATTAAAAGGGGCCCTGGTGAAGTGTTTGCTGTCGGAGCTGTCACTGAGAAATAGTGAAATGTGTGTGACCCAACACAAATGGCGTCCATTTTCAAGTAATGCTAGGAAAATGGGTGAAAATGAAGCTCATATTGCAGAAGAACTGCCTGCATCCCAAAATGTATTCTGCATGTGGACTTCAGGCCTCACAAGTAATGAGGGCTGTCGAACCAGCTGCCCACCCATGTGGCTGAAGCCGATACTCTGGCTTCTTTCAAGAAACAGCTGAGCGAGAATCTTGGATCAGTTGGCTACTAGCGTGCAAGCAAGCTGTGTGGGCTGAATGGCCTTTATGACCGTTAATATGTTTGTGTGAGCAGATGTGGAGAGCACAGCCTACTCGCAGCCCCTTGACTCACTTCTGTGGTCTTCCACTAACTGAAATGAAAATTGGACACCACAGGCTGTAGACTTGTGTATTGCAGTTTCATGTGTTTGGTACAGCATGCAGTCCGGAACTCTGTACGTTGTCACGGATGCTCGTTTTCAAGAGTTCTCCTGATAGGTGACTGTAGGTGATGTCATTATAATAAAAAGCAGAACAGTGAGGCTCAGTCCCTATGCTCGAGAGAAACACTAAGGAATCGCAGGTAATGACTGATGTGACAAAACTGTTTTGTCCACCTGCCCGGGGCCCCTCGCTGTTTCTGAGGAAGGTAAGGAAGAACACGGTGAGCATTGTGATGTGAATTTGTCTTCTGGACGTTTTAAAACGCCTGACGGAGAGACGCAGCTGCTGTTCTCTCTGTGTTCCTGCGTCAGGGCCCTGCTGAGCAGCCAGTCCTCTGCTCCGGGGGGCGAGAGCCCCTTGTCAGACGCCAGGCTGCACAAGGAGATCCAGAGGTTAAAGGAAGCGGAGAAAGACGGTCCTCAGCAAACCATCATCGTAAGTAAACGTCACAGTCGTTGTTCTCCGAGGTAGCGGTTTCGGCCGGCGGCGCCTTGTTTCGCCCAGCTGGCCCCCGTCAGCGTGGCTGCCGCTGGCCGGGCCGCAGCCTGAGCCCCTCTGGGTGTTGTGTGTGGACAGGACGCGGGCCAGAAGCGCTTCGGGGCCGTCACCTGCAGCGTGTGCGGGATGCTGTACTCCGCCGCCAACCCTGAGGACGAGACCCAGCACCTGCTCTTCCACAACCAGTTCATCAGCGCCGTCCGATACGTGGTGAGCGGCCGCCCGCCGGCCCCGCCGGCTTGGCTCCTCTTAGTGCTGAACGCTGCTGCTGCCTGAGTGGGACTTTCAGATGCTGAATGTCAGCCTTTTCCAACTCCTAGGGGTGGAAAAAGGAGAGGATTCTCAATGAATATCCAGATGGCAAAATTATCCTGGTTCTGCCGGATGACCCTAAATACGCCCTGAAAAAGGTAGGTTTCTCTCCTTGCGTAAAGTCTCTGCATTCCCCCGTGTGTTACCCTCCTAAGAGGAAGTGCAAACTAATGCTGCAGCAGCATCCATTTGTTATGGGCGCCATTGTCTCCTGGGTTTGCTGGCGAGTTGATGCCCACACGCTGCAGTAGGGAGTTCCTCGCAGATCGTCCTCAGAGAGTCGCCCGCATGTTAGTCGGCTCGTCTGAGAGCACGTTCAGGTGCACTCCTGTGTTGTGTGCTGTCACCTCTGATGTTCTCGGTATACACCAATGAGCGGTACCATCAGTCTGTTCAAGTATGCAGATGATATTACTCCAGTGGGACTCTGTTTAAAGGACCAGCTTTCAGGTGAGCAGACCTACCTTGAGCACATCAGTGCCTTTGAAAACTGGTGCCTGTCCAGCGCATTATAAATAAATGTGACCAAAACGCGAGCTTCTTGTCAACTCTCAGAATGGTGAGGAGCATCACAGACAATCCCACTCATGCCCTCTTTCCTCAGTGTAATCCTCCCATCAGAGAGATGGTGTAGGTCGCCAAAATCAAGTAAAAACATTTATACCAAGTCCTTGTGCAATTAAGCTGCTTCCAATTTTTTTCCTTATCTGCCATGTAATGTTGTTATGATTTTAATGCACTTGGATGTGATTTTATGGGACATAAGTGATTTTATGTTTTGCTTTGTGCGTGTTTGTTTTTCTGGGAGGGGCTAAAGACAGATTCCCACAGTTGTGGATAGTTAAGTGTTTTTTAGAATTGCTGGGTACTTTGTGTTCTGGTGTGACCAGAGCTCAGCTGTTAGGAGTACATGAGGACACCACTCTTTCAGCCTCCTTGTACGGGCCCGCTCACCGCTAAGGGCTTTGGTGAGGATATCGGTGAACTTTTAACCCCATACAGCTGCACGTCATTTGCTGTTTCTGGACTCTGGCCTTTCTTCATGCTTTGGGTGTCAGTGCTTTTTGCTCCGTTACACCAGTGCTTTGAAGTGATCTCCCACCCTGTATTACATCTTTGAATCCCGCTAGCTTTTACATGCACGCTGTTACTTGTGTACGTATGCGTTTCTGATGTAATTGACTGTGGCTTTATTGTATTGTACAGTGCCTTGATTGACTTCACGGAGGGCACTCTGCACGCAAACCATTATTTCTTCTTATACTCATTTGATTTGAAACGGCCAGCTGGGTCTTTACGTCCTGGTTTCAGGTTGTGGTGGTTACGGTTTGTCTAAGGTGTGGCGTGAGGTTCTGTGCTCACTTCAGGTATATCCACTGAACCGGTAGCAGTTACGTTTTCTGCAGTGTGTTGAAAGGCCCGGTGACAGTACCGGTCATGGGCAGCTCTGGAAAGGTATTTGCGCTTTCCTTCAGCTGGTGGTTGTTTTTGTTCCAAGATCCTTTACTGTTGTGAAGGGTGCCCTGTGTCCTTTTTCAGTCACTAATGTCCCAGAGCCCTTCTCCTTCCTGCCTCAGGTCGAAGAGATTCGAGAAATGGTGGATAATGACCTGGGTTTCCAGCAAGTGGAGACCAAGTGCCCCTCCCAGACCAAGACCTTCCTCTTCATCTCTAATGACAAGAAAGTAGCTGGCTGTCTCATCGCCGAGCACATCCAGGAGGTCAGTATGTCAAGTCCGTTTTCTGCGGGCGGCTTTGGCTTAAAAGGGTTAAGAATTCCTCAGTTGACTTCTCTCAACTAGCAAGGCTTTTCGGCCTTTTGCTGTGGGAGGAGTTGCCGGTGGGGGGGGCAGGGGTGACGGGGGCACAATGGGATCACTGCGTTACCAAAAGCGGCCTGTAGGTGTCATGCTGGTTCCATTCCAGTGACCAGAATTCGCCATTCAGCCCTTCCACCTGCCTGTGGTGAACGCAGCGTCTTCGGACTGCGAGAGTGCCCATGAGACGAAAACCTGGACTTCTGGCTGGACCGGGACTGATGACGACCCTGAAGCTGAGACAATTGATTGAGGGCTATTTATGAAGGACCTCAGATGTTTGGGTCCTTCAAACCATGTTGATCTGACTTTGTTCTGGTCGGTACCCACCCTAGACCATGTGCCCTTGTGAGTGACGCGTAACAAAACGCGGTGTCGATTCAAAAACTCGCCCTCTGATTTTCCTCCTCCTCCCGACGATGTGTGGTACTGCCGGAGGTGCCGCAGGGCGTGGCCAGGAGCAGACCTGCAGTGGGGTCCTGGCCATCACCAGCGCCGCAGCAGGCAGCAGGGTCACGAGGCGGCAGATCCCACGGCACCTCTCCCGGGCGGGGCCGGGCTCTGCTGCCCTCCGCCTGCGGGGGGGCGCTGTGTGCTGGGGGCCTGACCTGTGGGTGTGTGTGCAGGGCTTCCGGGTGATCGAGGAGCAGGCGCCCGAGGGCTCGGAGGGCGAGAAGGTGATGTTCGAGCGGCAGAGGGCCTGGTGCTGCTCCACCACCCCCGAGCCCGCCGTCTGTGGCATCAGCCGCATCTGGGTCTTCAGCATGATGAGGAGGAAGGGCATCGCCTCCAGGATGATCGACTGCCTGAGGTACGCCCTTTGCCTGATCTGAGCCGGGCTCCTCTTAAGCCGCAGTACAGGTCCACCGAGCAGTGCAAACAACAGCCGCGTCCACCACTCCGCCCACTCCGCGGCACTGTGGCTCAGGATCTGCGCCTGTGGCTGGAAGGTTGCTGGTTCAAATCCTGCAGCCGGCAGAGGAATCCTACTCTGTTGGGCTCCTGAGCATGGCTCTAAACCCCAACTGCTCCAGGCCGACCCTGAGCTCTGACCCCGAGCTTCTCTCTCCCTGTCTGTGTGCCTGTGTCTCATGGAGAGCAAGCTGGGGTATGTGAAAAGATATGTTCCTAATGTAAGAAATTGTATATGGCCAATAAAGTGATCTCTTAAAATGCACCTGGCACCGCTCCGAATGGGCCTTTTCCACACCGCGGGCCGCTCGTCACAGCCACTTTTCGCTGTCTCCCGCAGGAGCACCTTTATCTACGGGTCTTACCTGAGCAAAGAAGAAATCGCCTTCTCGGACCCCACTCCTGACGGGAAGCTCTTTGCCACGCGTTACTTCGGGACTTCGCAGTTCCTGGTGTACAACTTCGTCAGCGGGAGCCGGTCTCCGCTGCCTAGGGCCACAGCTGACGTCTGAGGTGCAGCCGTGTCTGGAGCCTTCCAGAGACGGCGCGGAGGCATCGCCGGGGATGTTTTCTACTGGCATCACGGCTTATGTGCTGTGACAAGTAGCCACCAGGACGCAACTCGGAGGGCATTCTTGCAGAAGATGAACTTTCTAGTTCATTCATTGGTTTGCAAAGTCAATAAAATTGAGCTTTGCCTCATAGGTGTTGAAACAACACTTCTTCTGATAAAGCATGAGAGAGGAATTTAAGGTTTCTCCGTTTCAAATACTCAGGTCTAGAAACAGCCAGGTGGTTGTTTAAAATAATGGCGTCAAAAATACGTTTTTATTTTTTTTCTTTTCTCCCCATAGCTGTTCAGTATTTTGGGACAAAAAAATATTTTATTAATGCATTTTTTTAAAGAGAAGATAATGTATTTTATTGAAAGTGTTTCAACAATGTTTACATGCACGAAATCTTTTGAGATGAAACGTTAAATTCCAAAAGCTTTAACCGGTAGGTAATAATGAGAGAAGTTCCCTTCACTGTCCCTCTATGCACTTCTGGCCCAAGAGAGAAGGCAGACGTGTAAGAGTCTCGCACTTAAGGCATCTTTGTTGTAGAAGAGAAATGTTGAAATGTTGCTGGCTGTGGTTGTCAAAAGATGTGTACTGTAATGCCAGGATTCTTGCTGCTTAATAGGCCAGCTCAAACACATTTTGGTTTATTCTGTAACTCATTCTGTTGACTGTTTCTAAGGCACTTTTCATATGCTGTAATTTTACTAAGGCCATTTTCGGGCTGGCAGTAGTTCCTAAAATGTTTGCGATTCAGGAAAAACACCTTGGCATTTTGTTTGGGTTTAATGTAAAAGGGAATTGGTTGAGATGCCTAATGCCCCACTTATGACGTATGGTAGGTCTTTAACAGTGCGATGCTGAGTTGGTCTTGAAATATTTATTCTGGAAGGGGCATGAGTATAAAGTAATATTAGCACGGATGGGAGTTCCCCACCTTTTTATGTCTTGTGCCTTGTTACTTAGGATTAACGTCACAAAGTAGACCTTACATTATGCACAACGGCTTGTGACCCTCACTCAAGAGAAGTGCTTATTTGGATCTGTATTACACCCACCACTCTCTGTAAAGCAGATATAGATGTATCACCTTCCATGGCGTTTACTTCCCTTTTTTAACTGTTAACTATCTTAAAAGCTAATCACACCTCTGAAATTGTTAATCTTATTAGGAAGACGCAAGTTTGGTGGATGAATTTGAAGCAAAAACCTAGTCCAAGCGGAGTGTGAATACCCTGTTTCTGTGAAAAAGTGGAGAAGAAAATAGGATAGGCACTGATGTTGTAAAAAGTGAAGTTGGGCAAGGATCCTGTTTTAGAAGTTGGATGACAGATTCAGAAGGGTAACTTTCAGCCTCCCCAGTGGCTCGTGCTTTCAAGGGTCTTGCTCTGTGGCTCAGGCATTGCCAGCTCTGACCTGACCAGGATACCGCCAAGCGGTAGAGCAAAACTGAGAGTCCTGTATGTGTGTGATTTGAAACAAGGACCCAGTGATACTTAATTTATTGCCCAGCCGACCCGATGCAGGACCTTGCACACAGTTGGAAGATCACCAGCAGGCGTAGAGCGAAGCGTAGAAGAGGGACGCAATGTCCATACAGCTCGCGTTGATCCCCCCTGGATCCCCCTGCGGTGCAGAAGCTGGGCCTGAGGAGCTGGTCTGTCACCCTCGTTCTCCCAGGGAAATCGAGGGCTCCAGGACAGCAACAGTTGCAGTTTCCTGATTGGTTGGCCCAAATATGACTCATATAAAAACGTTTAGAACTTGTATTTTCTGGTACACAAACACTGGATGATCAGGGCTATGTGTGTCACTGCTTTAAAAGAGGCTGTAAGAGTAGTGAAAAGGATTTTTGTTGTTTCAGTTTTTACCTGTGTTGGGTAAATTCAGTACGTGAGAATCCCTGCATTGTGCCGAAGACTTTGCCTTCTTTAGATAAACAGCAAGAGCTCTTAAACTTCAACACTTTTAATACATAGCCCTGTCACATACAGAGAATGTGTTATAATTATGGCTTAAATGCTAAAATTATATATTTCAAGTATATTAAATGTCGAAACAAAAGATATTTTTTTTATTAAAAATGTTTAATTTTGAACAGTGTACATTCTGTGGTGGCGTTGATTTGAAGCGATACGGAATCTCGGCAAGGCACCAAGTTGTTTGTAGTTCTTCAATTCTGTGCTTTTAGTCAAGGAACAGGCTAGTATGAGGATGTGCTGCTCTGTGACTGGTCTTAGTGGGTATAAAGTACAAACCAAGCCTGTTTCACCCTTTATCAGCCAAGAGCCCGAACACTCCTTTCCAGCTCCCCGACATTTCAGCTTAACATCAGTCCCTTTTGAGGATTAGCGCTTGATCTGGAAGGAGAAAAACATGGGAAGGAAATTGTTTTGAGTTCTATGCAATTTTCTTTTTTTGTGGTTGGTTGAACATACTGCAGGGAGAAATCTATCTAGTTTCAGTGTGTGTATGAAGAGCAATATTTTCATTTCATTTTGAACCAGTGGGACTTTTCTGCACCTGTTTCTATGTCGTGACATGTGATGTGCTGTTTTGTTCTTGGTAAAAAAAAAAACACATTGCCTCTACAATGTGGGCCGGGTCCTGGCACAGTGGCTCTCGGCTCACGTTTGCTCGCTCTGTGTGCGCCACTTTGTCCAATAATGGTGCACGACACCTTCTGGAGACCCAGGCAGCGGGTAAATTGGACTCGGATTGTGAAAGAGAGGAGGGGAATTAAACAACATGTACTTCAGGGCATGTCCACATAACCAGGCTTGAGAATGGCAGTTGAAGATGCTTGTATTGAACTCTGCTCCTACTGTCCGCACAGAAGCGCCAAGGCATATTTAGTTTGGCTTTAAATAGTTTAGTTATAGTTCATGTTCGTTCTTATACTCCATCATTTGTCCCATGTGTTAATGAAACAGCTGCAGACATCTGTGCCCAATTCAAATGGAAGACGACGTGTTTGAGTTTCAGTTTGATCCTCTCCAGCATCTAAGAGCTGAACTACAGAAACATCGGAGAACTAAGCACTCTTTGAAGCATTAGGGTATTTTTGCAAAGGAACAAGTAATAGGTTTATTCCCTGCTTAAAAAAAGAGAAGAAAACACAATGTTTCGGCCGTGGAGCCTTCTTCAGGTATGAGAAAGACAGGGCAGTAAAGAAAGGCTCCACGGCCGAAACGTTCTGTTTTCTTTCTCCCTTTTTTTCAGCAGGGAATAAACCTGTTACTTGTTTCTTTGCAGCCTATGCATGCTGACGCAGCTCCCCACCTGAACTATTAGGGTATTTTTTACTTATGTAATCAAGACAAGCCTTGTTTTTTCATGAAATCTCCCAATATTTGCATTTTATCCTTGTTTTTGTGGTTCTGCCTCACTGTGCTGGTTTATCACTTGGTAGCCATGAAAGTAAGCCATTTATTTGTTCCTTTCAATATAACTGTGCAAATGATCCAAATGATCTGCTTGCCTGTCATTAAGTTAATTTAAATGAGTGTTTAAAGGCTTGTGTCCCTTGGAGAGGAGGAATAAATAGGATTAGGGAATCGGGAATGTATCAATTCCAGATGCTGTCCACCGAAAAATATTTTAATCTTAGAATGTGTTGCGTTTTTGTGCTCTATCATCTGACACTGCTTGTAATAAAGTTAGGAATCCTTAAGCTGAGCAACAATGGATGTGACAGGAACATCTGGCTGCCCCTAGTGTCTTAAAACCCCATGAAAAAGGATTCAGAAGAAGGTAAAACTAAGTGCATGTGAATGATAACTGGGGTTTAGTGCCGTATTTTGAAATTAGGAACTGTACCTGGTGGTGAAGTACCTTAGGCAGATGTGTATAAATGTTTCAAGCGTTCCTTCATGTTTCATTTTCATCCTTGCTAAGTGCCTTGACTTCTGTTTCTGTCACTCCTTTATTGCACATGCTTTCCATGTTGGCGTTCCAGCGAGAGCCTCTTGCTGTGAGTGCTGGGAACTTTCAGGATAAACAAAGCAGTGTCAATCAGTATTGCTGTTTCTGCATTTCTGAGAACCTCACTAACTGGTGCACTCAACTCCAGAAGCACACTTCAGACTGTTGCTTGATATAGCCTTGAGTGTGGTATTAAATATGGATGGTAACAATACTGAGGCATTTTAGTTTGCTTTCAACACAGCTAATATGCTTAAAGAGCCTAGTTTGAAGGTCCTTAGTTGAAATGATCCTCTAGGTATCGGTCTTCCCGTAGAGGGTGGCCTGGACAGAGCCTGTGACAGTAGCCGTTGCTCTGTGGCTGTTAAAAGTAAAACGTAGTTGTCAGCTGCACTCTCGTGTACAATTAGTGCCATTTTGTTTCATTTCAACTACACCAGTATTCGCAGCTACAGTTCTAGTAAAATACTAAATTCGCATACTTGTGTTTTCACCAAAGAAATAAGCAATAATGAGCTGTGTCCCGAGAAGTGACTGCCAAGTTTTTAAAAGGCATGAAGTACATGTGCAGATTTCACTGATGCATGTGAGCTGCATTAGTCTGTGTGTGAGGTTCCAAACCTTCTAAAGGTGCAGGAGCTGTAAGTACAGTTGTGTGCAAATGTTTAGGCACCGCTTGTCGAATAGTATACTTCGGTGAATCTCTGAAGAGAAGCTGACAACCTCTGTGTGGTACAAACTTAAACATGTCATTTTCTGCTCATTTAAATGCACAATTAGTATTTATTGACAGTTTTGTAGCTGTTCAAAATAATAAAACAGTGAATGTGGCATGTGCAAATGTTTGGGCACCCTGTCAATCCAGGACTCCTCCAATGGCAGGAAGTACTTCCAAACATTTTTAGTCCTTCTGTTCTTGCTTTAGGAGTTTTCCCTCACTCTTCCAGCTCAGAAGTATTCTTATACTGTAGGTCTTCTTGCTTGCCCTGCATGTCTGAGATCTCCCCACAGATTTTCTATAATATTCAAGTCTGGGGGCTGTGAAGGCCTTTCCAAACCCTTAATCTTTCCTTCCTGTAAGAACTTCATGGTTGATCTTAAAGTATGTTTCAGATCTTTCTCTTGCAGTGTCTTTTCAGAAGAGTTTCAATTGAACCTGAGGGGTTAGCAGACTCAGAATTTGTTCACCTGACGAAGTAATCAAGTTTTGCGGCCTTTGGGGGAAAAAATAAATTAAAATGTTCTGATGAATCAATTGGAAGGCAGCCCAAACTTCTGAGCATGCCATATTCACCTTTTTATTTTTTCAATCTGTTAATGTCAGGAAATAAACTGTAATTTTATAATTTACAGATAGATGTTGGGTTTAACTTTGTACCATGTGGAGGTTGTCACCTTCTGTTGTAGAGAATCACTGAAACATGCAATTGAACTAGCCTGAACTTTGTATGCTACTGTATCATCAGGGGCTAGACAGGCAATGTGATTTCACTGTTTCAAGGCTCACAGACTGCAGCTTCTGGAGTTATTTCACCATTCTCTGTTTCTGTTTTACACAAAGACTGGCTGGAGACTGGAGCAAGCTTCCCAGCTGTGTTGTTGAAGCCGAGACCCGGGCTTCTTTCGAGAAGCCGCTGGCAGAGATGCCCATATGAGTTAAGTTGCTAACTGCAGAACCAGCTGGCTGAGATGAATGGCCTCTTGTTTTTATTCTCCCTGATGTTTTTTTTGTAAGAGATATGCGGGGGTGGGGAAAGTGTTGATTTGATGATGGTGATAGGGCTTCAAAATGGCCAAAGTTCATAGCATGTTTTTTTGGGTAGCCAAGGTGCCAGGAGAAACACGCCTGTTCTTTTATGTTTGTCACATGACCTCCTCCTGTCCTGGTAGGCCCTAGTTTGAAATTTGCCTGGCAAGTGGCCCATGAGGACCACTTATGCCCTCATGTCCAAGAACCTGCCTCTTTGATATGACAAGTAAAGGCCAGTATAGATGCTGACAAAGGTAGTATTTGTTATTTTATTTTAGTAATAGTAGTACTGTTTATCCTCTTTATTTTGTGAGGCTTCTCATTTCAAACAAGTATTCCGACACGAGCAAAGTTGGCTTTAATGAACCCAATACAATTAGATGTGCCACGACTCAACTACAGTTCAGTAAAATTTACATTGTCATTGCGATTTACTGCAAATTCTACAATTAAAGTTGAAAGCCTGGAAGCATCTTTTAAGAAGTTCATTTCTTTTTCATTTTCTGAGCTCGTCAAGACTGAAAAGTTGTTTAGACTTGTTTGGGGGGGGCAACCTACTTTAATCTAAATTCAGCAGCTAGGTTTTTTTTTTTCCTTTTCTTGAAAAAGCTCAGACAGAAACTTATGATGCGTATTTATAAGTTTCGGCTATAGAGACAGTTTGTCTGAAGTTTTGGCTTAAGTTTGTGATCCCATGATTTTTCCAAACCTCCTTCGAAATTGCTGGTTCTGTAGCTCATCTGTGCCGCCCCTCACCTGCACACAGGACCTGAGGCTGCATCCGAGTGGGCAGTTGCTTTTCAGTGGGAATACACTCGCGGCTGATGAGGGGGTCATCCTGGCTGGACCCCCCACCATCGGCACAGTCAAGCAGCCCGAGTCCCATCTGAGGGCTGACGTAGAGCTATAGGCACCAGTGTGAGAGGCTTTCTGAAATGCAGAGTTGCTCTTAATGACGTTATGGAAGGAGGGGTACTTCACAAGTTCATTTTGCGTGTTGCAGAAAAGAAGCGCTTGCCCTCATATTGCGGTACATGTAATTCTCTGGACAGAAAGGCTGGCTGGAGTACCGCTCTGAAGACTGGTGAAACAAGGTGGTACTGTGAGCCGCTGGTGGGTACACATGGTTTGGCACAGCAGTGTGTATCAACTGGGAGGTTTATTAGGCAGAACACTAGGCCTGGGAGCACCTCCCAAAAATGCATGAAGCGAAGTCACCTTGAGAGCGTGGAGGTTAATCTCAGTGTGACACCAAGACAGGGCCGCATTTTCAACTCAGCGCCCTGCCGTGTGGATTTGTTGTTTTTTTTTATGTGTGCAAAAAAAAAAAACACCTTAGAAATATATAAGAAGTTTTAAACTAATTTGTAATTTTACCTGTAATGTATATAGTGTTATTTAATTAAAAAAAGGTTAAAAAGATGTTTGGACTTTCAAAGCTCAGTTTATGCCTACACTACTCTATTATTCCAATTGCTTGCTGTTGATCGTGTTGGATGCAATGTGTTCCTGTTTGAGAACAACCCCGCCTTTGCAGGTAGATGAATTGGTTATGCAGAGGTATAAGAGCATGCCCAATCAGGAGAAATGATAAAAAGGATAACATAAAACACAGACCACTGTAAAGAGTAATTTCTTGGTTTATATATATTCCAATGAAGCAAAGAATGGATGTATTGGATGTTCAATACCTTATTCACACATTCTTTTAGCTCATTTTTAAATCATCTTAACTGGAGCAGAAACCTCTCTTACAGTTGAGCTGTAGGGTAACTTTCATGTGTTCATATTGCAAGGTAATACATAAAGCCCTACCCTGGAACTAATGAGAAGTCTTAAAGGGTTCAGATACAACTTTCTATAGAATATTAAATATCTTTACTGGTCAGGACCCTCAAATTATTAAAAAAGGATTTAATATTTTAAAAACCGGCTTTGTAGGGGGCGATTATAAATGATTTTGATAAATGTGACAGATGTGATTTTGGGATCATCAAAATACAAAATGCTAGGCTGTGTTTAAACGTCAGTTTATTACATTCATCAAGTTAACCAAAAAGCACATTTCCAACAATGTATTCACAGGTCCAAAAAAATGGTAAATATGAGGTAGATCACACAGGCGACAAGGACGCCACTAGGCTTATCTTTCTTTACACATATAGAAAAAGAAAAGTATTGAATTTTAAAGCAGCAATTCAAACAATGCATCTCTGGAAATTTCCATAAGCAAATTGCATAAGTTATGTGCACAACTAATTTTCTACAACCAAGAACAAAATACTTCACATCCACTGTTGAATTTCAGTAGTTTTTCTTTATTACCTAATGGATTTAGTATAAGATTAAGACTACTCAGAACTGGCTACCAGTTTCAGCTTGTAGTGCAAGTTTCTGCTTTCTCTAGGCATAGACGTTTCTCAGCCCACACTAACATACAGAACAGTACAAAGTAGATTTCAGTGATGCTGTGCAAAGTGGTCTTGTGTGAAGTTTTAATGCGCCTTCTCACGATATAAAAACATAGCCGAAACCTTCTGCACGTGGTCACCTACAAACTAAAATGATTATCCGCTCAAAACCCTCTTTCAATAAATAATGATCCTTCTCAAAAAAGGATTTTCCTTTTTGTTTTAAATATATTTTTCAAAGTAGAAATGCTAGACATACACAAGTGGTAAAGAAATTTAGGTAGATTCTTTGTGCCTAGGCGACCACATTTACAGAAATATATTAAAGCACTGACAAAGTGACTGCTGATTACAAAATATGAAACCCTAATTGCTGGTAGGGTTGATTTAATATATTATACTAGATTTTGTAAACACTGCTTGTCTCATTTTAAGACAGACCTAACACTAAAACACATCCTTCCCTCTGTACAGATGCAGGAGTAGCAGGTGCCTTCATCCAAATTGGTCTGTGCTCCACGTTTAGAGTAGAGAGTCCTGACCCCAGCGATCCCAGCATGGTGGACTGGACCGCTGGTGCCGAATGTACATCAGGGTGACCAACCACCTCATTTTATAGTCAGTAAGAAAGGCTCAAATGTTAACTGTGTACACAAGGACAACGGCCCTGAGTAAACACAAAGCTGTGAGTTCGGATCAAATCAAAATGTGTACTCATTTTCAATAAAAGTGCCCCTTTCCCATCAACTCATGCCAACGCGAGTCATATAAATTAATGCTAATCCATGCTATCTTTCCTGATATTTTTGCCTTCCCTAAAAGAATGGCTTTAACAGGCCCCTGCTGTAGAAACGTAATTCTAGAGTTCCCCTCTATAGCCTGTAGGATCGCAGCTCGGATCCAAATCTATTTGCAGCCAATTGTCCAGCCCAGTGTCCAAGCCAAGCAAGGCAAAATGATACGAAGCATGTTAAGAAAATAAAAGTAAAAATGCACAATTTCTTTATCCTATTGTCAGTTGTTCTCACTTCAACGTCTAAAACATTTCAGCCCAAAATAACTTTTAAAAGCTCAGCTGTCCACCCAACAGGATCAAAGCAAAAAGACCTTCTGGATAAATAAGCCTTGGGAACTGTAGTCAATCACCATAGCTCCGTAAGACCAGAAGGCCAGAGGGCCCGGGGAAACAGGGGTGCACGTTTTCATTTTTATGGGGTCAGTTAATGAAAATGTGGAGTAAAAAACAGGTCTCTGCAATTCAGGTCTCTCCATCAGTAAGTATCAAGACAATAGCATGATTGGCAACCCTGATTTATAAAAATCAAAGTTTTATATGTAAGGCATATTCTTTGTACTACTCTGTGCAGTTAATATTAAATGTTAGAAAAAAATCTGACCACTTACTGTATTTATTGAAATAGAACTGTTTACTTTGGTCTATGAAAGCTGAAAACTGTGTTGCGTTTACATTCTTACTATATAGTCTCACAAACACACAAACGCTGCGTGTTGTTAAAAACTGAAGGTCAGGTATTCTCGACCGTGTAAAACAACGCGTCAGTGTTGCGGGCATCGCGCAGTGACCTCCACCTAGAGCACCGACACGCCAGCGACGCACGGGGCTTCCACTACGTCATGAGGCACGGCGCAAAGGCATTCGTGTTAGGAGAAATAGCAAACGTGGGTGAAAAAACAGACTCTTTTCAGTCTTGCTCAGCCTTTCCGGGCCTTTAAGAACCAGGGTACCAGGCACGAGGCACACCCCCACAGCCCCCGCCGAGCGAGCGGCAGACAGGAGTCTGCAGCCCCTGGTGATGGGGAGGGGAAGAGCAGGGAGCACACTACAGCACTCACCTGCCAGTCCCCTAGCCCCCGCGGGCTCTGGTGGTTAGTGCCTTTAGTACATTCCATAAGTCAAGAGGACATCCCGTCTAAGTGAAGATAACGGCACGATTCACCTTCATCTGTGCAACGCGTCAGATAAAGCTCATCTTTCAGTCGCAGCAACTGGTGTACGTATAGGCCACATGCGCTGTGCCGCTCTCTCACAGCTGCAGGCTGCTCGAGCATTGCTGTTCTAGGACAGCGCCGACACAACCTTGTCACACAGACACTGAAGCCTGCCTTTCCCCTGCATTGCAACACTGCACAAGATTGTGTTTATACCTGTGTAAAAAACCTGAATGGCGGGGCTGCCTCACTCAACTCTACGAAATGTCACATTCAGGTTGTGGATAACAGTTCACCACTAACAAGGCACATCACATGGCTGGCAACAAGTCACAGTCCAATAGCAGCCATGTCAACGCCGTTTTTTGGCTTGCCCTGCCTCAGCTGCAGGCGATAGGCGGGCTAGAACAAGTTTCATGAAAATAGACTGGTGTTTTCTATCCCTGTTCAACAGCAAAATTGCGCTTTCAGCTTCCCCAGTTGGGAACTTTCCCTGGGCTGCTCTCACATTCTGGAGTCGATCTGCACTGTTTATAAGAAAGGAGGAATGTAGGGAGGGACAGGAGGAGGGAGACACAGACCAACAAAGTCTGCGTGTCAGCACCTGCTCATCCTCAGCTCTGCGCTGCTTAAACACATGATACAATATGAAACAGGAACACTTCACATTCAGAGAACAAGACTAATTATTTCTTCTTTAAAGTATTAAGCTTTTTTTAAACCCCTGAGATGTACTGTACATCAAGTACAGTAAGCATGCAAACCACAGGCTTGTCCCTTGGTCGGCAATCTTTGACGTTTCACACGCCAGGGGGCGCGAGCCCCTCAGAAGAACACCCGAGCCAGCTCCCACGAGCTGCGCACGCAACATCGGATCAGCAGGCGTCCCGCTTTGGGCATCGCCGGACAAGCCCCTCCCACGTGAGCATCCTCAGTCACCTGGGCCGTGAGGCATCTGCACGTGCCCACGTGCCTGACTGAAGCGGAGATTTAGAGAGGCCTCTGGTGCGAAAGTAGTGCAGTTTAAGGTGTGTGGGGCAGGCAGGCAGCCATCTTGTACTGAAAGCAAGAGCGCGAGTAGGGTGCCAGATGTGGTCAGAGGCCTACAGCTCTGGGCGGCACGGCTCGGGTTTTGTCCAGAACTGATTGTGGCCAGCGAGCGCTGGGTTACATTCTCCGCATATTGATTATCATCTCGGGCGGCGAGGCGAGGGCGGGCGGGCGCGCTCAGATGTGGCGCCCCGTGAGGAAGTAGAGGGGCCGCTCGTTGCTGCCGTTGGCTGTCCGGAACTCGTCCCGCAGGCGGAACTGCCACTCGTCCTCCAGCTCCAGGCGCACGATGGTCTGGCGCAGGGAGCTGCGGTCCTGGCAGATCACACACAGCGTGGCGCCTGCGGGGGACAGACAGGAGAGGCCGCCAGCGTTACCGCGCGCCGGCAGGGCGGGGGGGGGGCCGCGGGGCTCCGCGCACCCCGGGGGCGCGGCGGCGCTCCTCACCTTTGAGGAACTTGAATTTCTTCAGCAGGTCGGCCACCACGAAGGAGTCACAGAGGTAGAGGAACAGCCCGCTGAACACCAGCCCTTCGTGGTCCAGGTTAACAGAGTGTGGCCGGGAGCTCACGTAAAACACAGACACCTGAGGGACGCCACAGAGACCAGTTCACACAGCAGCAGCCACAGGGCCATGTTTCAAGACATCAACACTGCACATTCTTTCCCATTTAAAAAAGCCAAGGTGCTTTATTAACACAGAGAAATTAGAAGTTCTTGTGATAGTCAATAACACCGTCTTGGAAGGGAACAAGTAATAGGTTTATTCCATGCTGAAAAAAAGAAGAAAGAAAACAACGTTTCTTTTTTTCAGCATGAATGAACCCATTACTTGTTCCTTTGCAGCCTAGGCAGCTACCCACCTGAACTAATATGGTCTTGGTACTCACGTAAAACAGGAACTCCTTATTCAAAAACCCATTCTGACATTTCTGTCGGCTGAGCCACAGAATGTTTCCAGCAGCCCGTGGAATAAAAGATTTAGAAATGGCAGACTGCTGGTTTCCCAGTTCTCCCAGGGCTTCCAAGATGCTCTAGCATGACCTGCAGAAGAAGCGTCTCGTGTCCTCACCTCTGCACCTATGTTGAGGTAGCTGTCGATGGACAGGACGGGGTTCTTGCTGTTGTAGATAGCCTTGGGGAAGAGCTTATAGCTGCTGTGCTGCAGGAACTTCTCGAGCAGGAACTGCGCCGGGGCACTCAGGGCCATGTGCTCGCTGTCTGGAGCGCAGACATACTGAGAGGGGCTGATGGAGGCCAGCTTCTCGGACACCTGCAACAATGCACACACACGCGCGTCACACGGACCGCTGGCACAGGAGGAAACGGACAAAAGGTCCGCACAACCCCCTGCCGATTCCTCACCAGCAGCTTGGGCTTAATGACCAGATCCTTGTGTCCGCCGAAGGGGATGTGCTTCTTCATGAGGCTGAAGTTGTTGAAGCGGCAGATCAGGAGGTCGCTGCTGTTCACCCGCAGGTTGAAGTCCACCTCCTCACAGACGTACCTGAGCATGGGAACAGCCACGAGACGACAAGCTCAAACGAGTTGGTAACACAAGAAAGAGAGTTCGGGCAGGAAGGACTTGCTGCCAAGATCAATCAATTTGGGCGGAGCGGTGGCTCTGTGGCTGAGGATCTGCGCCTGTGGCTGGGAGGTTGCCGGTTCAAATCCTGCAGCCGGCAGAGGAATCCTACTCCGTATGGCCCCTGAGCAAGGCCCTTCACCCCAACTGCTCCAGGGGTGCTGTACAATGGCTGACCCTGCGCTCTGACCCCCAGCTTCTCTCCCTGTCTGTGTGTCTCATGGAGAGCAAGCTGGAGTATGTGAAAAGACAATTTCCTAATGCAAGAAACTGTAAAGGGTTAATCAAGTGATCTTACTGTTATTATAATTAATCAGCATCAGCTGTCGCTAATTTGTAATCTCACTTGATGTTACTTCCTCTCATACCCTATGCAATCACCTTCCCTCCCTCATTTACATCTCCGGCATCCCACCTGCACCCCATCTCCCCCTTTACAGCTGCCCCTCAGCCCACATGGGTTTAGCCAAAGTTATTGCGACTGAAACGCTCCACAATATAATACACTGGATTCTTGGGTGTTATTCCTAGCGAATTCCTAATTATTCATTGTTGTTTTCTAATCCGTACACCATTGCGTCTCAAAACACGGTACACCGTTACGTACAAACCCTTTCGGACACTTGAGAAAAGGTCGCTTTCGATGAATCAAGAGTGTCGAGGTAAGAATCTGTAGTTCCCCCAATTATACTGGGGAGTCACAAACGTCTTCTGGGTCCCGTGCATGTTCACATACAAGAAAGCGCTCTGAGCCGAAAGAAGCTCCGCCCCAGCCCCAGCCGCCCCGCCCACCTGTTGAGGTCGTACTGCACGTTCTGGGTGAGGTCCACGTTGAGGAGCACGAAGTCGTGGACGTGGCAGCGAGAGAAGCCGGTGCCGGGCCCCCGTCTGCGCAGGCGGCTGCTCCACTTGCGCACGCCGCACATGGCGTACAGAGTGACCTTGGGCGTGGCCTCCGCGTGCTGGATCACCGACTTCAGGGACACGTTCCTGAAACCGGGGCCTGCGTCGGCTGCCTCGCTGCAGGGGAGAGGCAGGTCAGATCACAGTCGCCCACGACCTCACGCTCTCCGCAGGCGGACAGTGGAACGCGGCACGTTTCTTCTCAAGTCGGAAACAATCAACCAGAGGGAAAGGCCCTGACCGGGGAGCGGATTATCCCCGAGGACGCGGTGTTTCTACTGAGGGCGTGTCAGACATCAAGAACGGAATCACCCAAGTGCCCTCCTGTGGCAGAAGCTCTTTCACAATGCCTTCTTTGTTGGCGTGGGAGGAACACGCGGTCAGGTCCCCACGTCAGACCGTGCTGATTTGGAAAATTAAATTGTATCCCAAACGAGTGCTCTCTGTTTGCCCTGCTGTGTCCATCGTGGGGGTGGCTGCTCTTTACCTGCCAGTGTCCTGGGGACTGTGCGAATTCCAAAGGACGCAGGAGTCGTCCATCATGATGACGAATGGCCAGACATCTTGCCTCTTCACCCCCTGCTCCTCCAGGCGGTTCCTCTCCAGCTCCAGGTTGTGGTAGGACAGCTCCTTGATCATAAACCTGGTGGCTCCTGCAAAGTGTGGCCACAGTTAATGCGAGAAAAACTTCAGGGCCTACCAGTTGTTACATGATAGTGTCATCATAACTCAACATCAAAGAAGGCAGCACTTGAGACAAATCGAAAACACAAATACTACTTATGAAGAAGCCTTGGGCATTTATTTTGTCACATCTTCACATTTTCTAGACAATGCAGGGAGGCAATTTAAAGGAGAAACAAAATGGTAGGACATATAGAAAGGTCTCATTTCAGGCACTGTGTACAAATCACAAGTCGTTGTGTAAAGGAAAAAATACTGCTGCCTTTGAATCCTTCCAGCAAAGAGCAACCAGATATGAGCTTACAAGTATTCAAAATCCTCAAAAACTGAGCACAGTGGACTACTTCATGAACCATGGGGCACAAGTGGACACTTCATGGGCGTACATTTAAAACTAACATCAGGAGGCACTTCTTTGTGGGTTGTGAGTATGGAAGCAGCTGCCTACCACACAGCTGAAGGCCAGGTGCGTGCATGAGCACAGAGAAGCAGCAGCGCCTTCAGCAGCACCGAGGGAAGGGCCTGGCCCAGGAGCACTCACCCACTCCGGCGCTGTTGAACATGGCGGGCAGGACGAGCAGGATGTGGTTGGGCCAGTACTTGCGGTACAGGGGCATCTCGTACTCCTTCACCACCAGGATGTGGAGGTGGGCAGCGCCCTCTAGTGCGTGGAAGATGTTGAGGAGCCCGTGCTCGTGGCGCCCAGTGGTGGGAGTGAAGATGGGGCTCTTCAGCAAGCTCGGATCCTGGGGAACACACCACCTCTCACTCCCTTGCACAAGAGCACTTGAAAATCCCATTCAAATCGCCCGTTTGACCTCTTAACCATCTGCCACAGGATCAGTTCAAAAAGGGATGCATGCCAGAAAATATGATTACAAATCAATAGGCTTTGTGTACTTTCAAATAGCTGATCTCATTTATCATTATCAGACCCTTCATCTACCCCTCTTCATGCACAGGCCTGTCTTGGCTCTTGAATGTCATGGGTGCCACCAGGGGTCTCCCTGTGACCGGAGTGCTCTCCTGGCTGTGAAGCGCTCACCTTGTCGGACACCAAGGGCAGCACCATGCTCTCCAGGTGGCTGCCCTGCTGGCTGAAGATGAAGAACCGCTCCTTGGACTTGGGGATGACGAAATGCAGCTGGACCTCCTCACCCAGCATGGAGGAGGAGAAGGTGAAGGTGTGGAAGGTGCAGTCGGACAGCTGGGCACACAGAGCACACACACAGAGTACAGATTAGTGCCACAGCCACTCGCCCTGCTCATTGATACAGGCGTCCATGACACCAGCCACACATCTGGCACAATATTTTTCCATTGCAATACAACTTTCCAAAGGAAATGTTTGTTTTGAAGACATGCTATCTTTGTGTGTGTACTAGCCCATTTTGCTGCTGCCTCTGCACATTTATGGAACAAGTTAACTATTCATCTCGTTTCCTCAACAGAGCAGGCTGACCTCCAACCACGAGACACATTAGAGTTGAAACGTGGGCAAACGAAACAACAGACATGCTTCTCGTGGAAGGGAACAGTAACATATTCACTGCACAGTATTTTCAAGCCCTCTTTCCTGGTGAGGGTGACACTCCAGGGGCAGATTGGCAGTATAACGTCACTGGGAAGCAGACTGACCTGAGTGGCTGGGGTGGCTTCTGTATAATGTTGGCACTGTTCACAGCGATGAAAGGTATTGTAGGCAGCATACTTGGTTAACATTATTGACACAGTCTCTCGCTTGGCAGGCACTTCTTGCTTGACCTCCTTGTGATAGCCTGGGAAAAGCGAAATGTATCAATAAATACGACTGTAGGCTGTGGATTCATGTCACTGTGCTCTAATCTAAAACCCACAGGTACACAGTGTGAGGAACAGTGTAATTGGATCTGTGAGACCGCAGCTCTTTGACGGCATCTCATTAACCGCAGCAGAATGTGATTACAGCAAAGGACAGACAAGAAATCAGCCTCTGGGCCAGAATTTCCAGGTCCGCTTCAGACCTCCTCAGGGATACCAGGTACAAGACCCTGTCGCCCTTCAGATGAAACACTAAACAAGCATCCTGACAGCGAGGCCATTACATATTCACACGGAAGAGTATGAATCTTACACCCGGTGTCATGGCTAAAGCTCGTTCTGGGTTTGCACAATATGGCCTCCCCACATCTCCCCCTTAATTCTGCAGGTGAATTTCTCACTTGTTCCTGCTCCTGCTCGTTCGTGTCAAAAAGGAATTATATTAATTACCTTGCAAGGACTTGTTCGGCTTGTCTGTGTAGACAGGACTGCTGTGGCGAAACTTGGGATCCCGGGGAAGGAGGTCAAAGGGCATCTTTCGGATAGCTTCAACATCTGGCCACTGGTCAGTCGTGGGCTGGGTGGACTCGGAGACGTCCGGCACTTCTGCAAGCATTCAAGCTTGATATCAGAGGCAGACTTGAACAGTAATTAGCATGACTTAGCAAGGCGTCGCATTTACCACTGAAGAAGCTCAGAGCAGCGATGAGGCAGACTGTGCTGGTAGATAGTGTTTATTGGTAGAAAGTGGTTTTAAAAAGGAATACTGTAAACTAAAAGCATTGTTTTCTCCGTATAATTGACATTATTGCACATGCAAACAAATGAGGGCACTGCTGTGAGTTCTCCCTGTATTAAAGTTTGTTTTTTTATTCTCAGTCGAGCATTTTCTTTACTTTTCTACATCCCGTTTTCATTACTATTATAAATGCAGCACTAATATCCTGTCATAAAGTTTTTAACAGCACAGTAATAAAATAAATAAATAAATTCAGTTTGCTCACTCTGTTGCCCGTTTCCACGAGACACGTGAGACCTGAGACTGCGACAGCCCAGGGGACCAAGAGGGGACCAATAACACACTTATTCAGCACAGAACTCTGGTAACAGGTCTCCACACAACGCACCACACACCTAACGCTTTCCTGAAGGAAACTGAAGAACTGAAGGCACAGAAACACGCCAAGCTGTGCCCATACTGTACAGGCCGGGTGAAGCAGACCTGCGAGATGACGATGTGCAGGTGAGGGCCTCTATTTACTCTCCTGCTAGGCAGCAGGCAAAGATAACAATAAATAATAGTTTTGCGTAAGCTGGCAAAATCACACACTTATAGAACTGACAAATACCGGGGTTTTACTGTATACCTTAGTGAAGATGCAAATATTCAAAGTGGAGAATTTATGGGTAAGTGTTTTTTATACCTCGTCGAATGAACAGCCACTGCAGTTATAACTGTTTGCAGTCAAGTTCCCACTGTTCTCAATGTCCCAAGCTGTTTCTTGCCACACAACCGTCCATTAGGAGGAAGGCTGCAACACTTCATTGTAAATCTCACAAATCAAAGTGGGTTTTCACCAGAAACAGCTTGAGTTCTGGAAATGTGCAACTGAGCTTCTCTCCTGCATGGATCTTTGGGGTGGAGTGGTGGCTCTGTGGCTCAGGGTCTGTGCCTGTGGCCGGAAGGCTGCTGGTTCAAATCCCGCAGCCGGCAGAGGAATCCTACTCCGTTGGGCCCCTGAGCAAGGCCCTTCACCCCAACTGCTCCAGGGGCGCTGTACAATGGCTGACCCTGCACTCTGACCCCCAGCTTCTCTCCCTGTCTGTGTGTCTCATGGAGAGCAAGCTGGGGTATGCAAAAGACAATTCCTAATGCAAGAAATTGTAAAGGGTTAATAAAGTGATATTATTATTATTAAAACGGAGAGCAGGAGGCCGAGAATGTGTTCTGCGCATTGTGGAGCTCGAGCCGAACGAGATACCGTTTCTCGAGCTGCGGGGAATCTGACAAAACCAATAGCTGATCAATTCCCAACCAGACCAGCGAGAAAAGCCTGAATGTGTTCCTGTAGTGCAGCTCAGCACCAGTCATACCACAAGGAGCTCCACTCACCCTCCTCCAGCTCCTCCTCGTCGTACACGTCCACCTCCAGCAGGCGGATCAGCATGCGGAACAGGATCCTCAGGAACTGCAGGTAGGCTCCCGTCTTCCCCACCTGGGCAGGCAGACAGACAGGTTGCGCTTCAAAGACAGGCCAGCCGCTCCGCCGGCCAACAGGAAGGAGAACTTTTCCCACAGGTAACATGAGGTTAACAACAGGCTATTTCAAACAGGACTAGAAAAAACAACAACACATTTTTAGAAAAGCCCAGTGTCGGCAGATGTTTCCGTTTCTCGATTCTGATCTCAGCTCCCCCTCTCATCGAAAAAACAGACCAGGAAACTGGACCCAGCAGAAAAGTAAAAAGAAGAGAAGGGTTTTGGCCTGCTTCAGGTGTGTGAAGGCAGCCCGCAGCTCTGAAAAGTTCTCCTGTACTTTGACTTTTCTGCGTGGCGTTTTCCTGGGCTCCCTGCTCGTGTCCGGGCGCGGGCGCAGGCGGCGGGCCTTGCCTGGGGAGGGCCGGTGAGCAGCAGGCGCCGGGGGTGCAAGCTCGCCCCCTCCTGGCCGGGCTGGGCGCTGTAGTCGGCGTGGTGCTGGCGGGCCGTGGTCCACTGGCGGTAGTAGAGGGACTGCTGCGCACTGCCGAGCTCCCCGTGGAAGAGGGGCCGCAGGGGGCTGCTCCAGCTCACGTCCGCGTGGGGCAGGAGGGAGAAGGAGTGCATCTGGCCGGCCCTCTCCCCCACAAACAGCTTGTAGGCGGCCCGCGAGAGGATGACCACGCGCGGCTGGGCGGCCGGGCTGCTGCGGCCCCCTCCGGTGGACTGGCTAGGCCTCTGCGAGGAGGAGGAGGAGGAGGAGGAGGAGGAAGCCGTGCTGGACGAGGACGGCTGGGGGGCGGCGGCAGTGCCGTTGCTGGCCAGCTGGCTCTCCTGCGAGTCGCACTCCTGCTTCAGCCCCTCGTCCTCCAGGCTGCTGCCCACCTTCTGGAAGCCGGAGCCGGAGCCGGAGCCGGCCGGCCTCTGGGAGGAGTCCGCCACGCTGGAGGAGCTCACCCCGTTCTCCGCGATGGAGCCTGCGGGACAGCCAGGGCAAGAGAGGCTCCAGAAGGCGGCAGCGCTGCACCCCGCAGGGCCGCTCGCTCCCCCGGACAATGACTCATTTTCGGAAGGGAGAACAATCACAGGCCGACGTGCACCAACACACACAGACACAGGTGTAATACAATGTTTATTCTAAACGACAGTCTAAAAGAGGAAATGTGATTTTTGAACAGGAAATTTGCACGGCAGATGTGCTTACTCGGAGATTCTTGTGCACGGATTTTTAGATATTCTGGACCTTTTTGAGCCTTTCAAATGTTGGAGTGACATTCACAATGACACCAAGTCAAGCTGTTTCTCCTTCTTCATATGTCTGATCTTTGAAAAGCAATTCTATAAATTATCAAAATAATTAAAAGTAAAGCAAAGAAACAATCCATTAAGTAAAACAAATGTTTTCACTGAGTTGTCACAGTTGTGCCCCGAGCCCGCCGTTACCCCACCTGAGCCCTGTGCCCTGAGCCCGCCGTTACCCCACCTGAGCCCTGTGCCCTGAGCCCGCAGTTACCCCACCTGAGCCCTGAGCCCGCAGTTACCCCACCTGAGGTGCCTGTGACAGCACTGCCGTTACTCTGGGGCCTCTCCAGGTCAATGTGCAGCTCATCGGGGTCGTGCTCGCTGCAGGCCGCCTTGTCCAGCTCCTGCTCGGACAGCCCCATGGTCCCCAGCGGCTCCTGCACCGCCCCACGCGACACATGGGTACAGGCCAGCCCTACTTCCTGCTCCAGGGCGGTGCGCGTCAGGTAGCTGGAGTCGATCAGCCTCAGGTCACAGTACTTGAGAGACCTGAGAAGCCAGGAAAGGCAATCGCGTGAGCAGGCCACATGGGACCCCAGGCTCACGGCACCCGGGGGCCTGGCTAGTCATTGGGAAGGGCGGAGAACGAGATGCAGCCCAGTGGTGCTGGTCAGACGGACCAGTAGGTGGCACCCTTCCCTCCACACACTGGAGTCCCATGTTGACAGGCTAAGCAGCATGAGAAACCCAAACTGTGTCCATGTACATCTGTGGTAAAGATCTCGTCACACTCTTTCAGACAGGGCGGATGCGCTCACCTTTGTGTGGGAAAGACGGGGCTAAGAAAAAAAAAAATTTCTGGGGAATTATCCGTCTCTTTCCATTTTTTATTTTCTCTGGAGATGAGGCAGCTTTGTGATGAGTGCTCATGCAAACCTTCTGCTTGTTTTCTGCTCATACACCACTGGCTGGTTCAATCGGAGAACAGTTGTGACGCACTGTGATCCCGACAAGTTACAAACACTAACATTCAAGCAGCACTCCTTGGGATGAGCTGGTTTCAAGCTTTTTCTCTCTACCAGATGGCTCTACAAATACTCCAAATTAATCCTTAGATGTGAGTGTTAAATTGTATGGTAAAAAAACCCTCTATGTCCTTACTTCCTCCACGAACAGGATGACTGCGTATACGTTACTTCCTCAACAAGCTCTTGTTCAGATCTTTTCCGCAATAATTAACCTGAAGGCACCCCGAAACGCCGGTTTTCCCCGCCGCAGCTCGGACACACTGAGCAGTGAAGCCCTGCCGCACGCTGGGAGGCCTACCTTGGGAACGTTTCCCCCAGGGGGTCTTTCCCGGTCAGGATCACGATGCACGGCAGCCCCTCCAGCTCTTCGTAGGTGTGGGGCACCCAGTCTTCGTTTTCACAGCCCCTCCAGGTCTGAGACAGACAGCGCGTTTTCATTAGAGAGGGGGAGCGATCAGATCATTCCCTGGGGCTTCTCTGACGTTACGGCTGCATTTCCGCCGCCCCAAGCCGCTGCCGAGCGAATACCTGGCCTGGAGAACAGCCTACAGCCGGACCCCCTCTACAAGAGCAGAACGGACGCCTACACTTCCCCATTCTCCCCGTCACGGCCAAGCTGAATTCACCGAGCCCGGCGCGAGAGGAGCCACGCGGTCACACGCGCGCGCGGGGCTGGGGGCCCTCACCTTGAGCCGGGCGACGAAGTGCTTGGCCAGGCTGAGCTCGGCGGAGGGGCTGCCCAGCATGACCTCGAAGCGGAACTGCAGGCCCAGCTTGTCCCGCACCTCCTCCAGCCGCTCGCGGGCCAGCATGGCCAGCTGCAGCGAGGGCACGCGGATCAGCAGCATGTGGCCGCGCCCGCTCTTGTCCCGGCCCGGGGCGCTGATGAGGTCGTCCACGATGCCCAGGGTCTCGGGGGTGGCGTGGTCCCGCAGGGAGGAGACGGCGACCAGCGCCATCATGGCCTCGGTGTACTGCTGGATCAGAAGGTAACTCCGGATTACCATGCTGTGCAAGCGAGGGTACCTGTCACGTGAGGACACAACATGCTTTAGACCAGCAGCCGGGGACAGATCTCCGTTAGAAAAGACTGCGGCGCCTGCAGCCGCGCTGGCTCGGACAGGCTCGCCCCGTGCAGCAGCCACCCCGAGGCGCTTCGCCTCGCTAGCAGAGCCATTCTGCTCCCGGGCAGCAGCCGAACACGCGCTGCAAAAATGTCTCCCCGCAGGCGGGTCACCCCGGGGGAAGAGCATTTCCCCCCCGCAACAAAAACACAATTCATTTCCCTTCCGCCTGCTTCTCCTGTGCTCTGCCCTGAGCAGACAACAGCAACACGGCTGCACCACTCAACTCCAGTCAACATGAGGGACTGGGGGCGACATCCCACATCATTTATATATAATACAATATAATATAATAATAAAAAATTAAATAAATTTAAAGTGCACTGCAAGAACAATAATGAACCTGTCAGTCTTCATTTAATGGACACTTCAATGCATCACCTTTTAGTGAAATGAGCTCCTTTTAATTACTTTTTCCATGAGAGCAACACAGACTGTGGCTTTTAAAAGCGCTGTAACATTGTTTAAAATAATGCTCTCTATTCAAACCACAAAACAAAAAAAATCAAGTACAAGGGCTTGGACAACAGAGAATCGCAGGAGATAAAATGGTGGATCTCTTACACCGGGGCACTTGTACCCAGAGATTTTCATTTCCATCCCAGGTTTCATCAAGCTGTTTCTACATTCTGCGTGTAATTATCTGCTCTCTGAAGAAGAGCTAGGCAGCGCACGCTTAAGAGAACGATATTCCTGCTCTGTGACTTAGGTGAAATTGTTCACCCACGCAGAGTACTGAATAAGAAAGTGACCAGAAAACACTTTAACCTATCAAAACATGAGTATCTGTAAAAAAATAAATGGATATTAAATCAGCAAAACCCAAATTAAATACCTTACAAATGATAACAAAAAAGTCAAGAACACAGTTAACTCCCTAATGTCAAAATAAAGAGGTTAATATCAATAAGGCTGACAAGGTACCTCTCCAGCAGGGTGTTGACCATTTTTTCGAAGGCATCGTCACACCTCAGGATGGGGCTGGCCATCCCCCACTGCAGGGAGCGGCTGTAGTCCCCGAGGCCGAAGTAGACCTGCTCCTCGGGACCGCACTCCTCCTGGGGAGGAACAACGACAGCAGGGGGTGAGCGGCCCAGCCCCGCCGTCTCCCACCAGCGTGACAAGGCGGAGTGGGGCCCAGGCTCTCACCGGCGCTTCACCGTGCTGGGGCCAGCTCGCTTGTGCTGACGTGCCCAAAGGCTGAAACTGCCGGGGGGGGGGATTGGGAAACTTCCTCTGAGGTGACGAGTCGAGAGGCTCGTGTCCCGTTTTCTCGCTCGCAGCACGAGAGCAACGCGCGGTCAAGACCGAGAGCCGGGCGGGAGCAGGGGCACTCACCAGGCTCTCCGGCGCTGGCCAGTGCACCTCGTTGTAGATGCCGATCCTGGACTGCTGCGTCTGCAGCGTGAAGGGGAAGGAGCTGACCTGCAGCACCAGCAGGTTGGTGGTGCTCAGGACCTCCCTGCAGTTGATCACCCTGTCCGCCAGCCCCTGCAGCTCCCCGTGAGACACCGAGCCCGCCATCAGGCTGCAGGAAAAACACACGAGATAAGATCACTTTATTGGTCATATACAATTTCTTGTATAAGGAATTCCTTTTTTTTGCATACCCCAGCTTGCTCTCCATGAGACACACAGACAAGGAGAGAAGCTTGGGGTCAGAGTGCAGGGTCAGCCATTTCTACGGCGCCCCTGGAACAGTTGGGGTGAAGGGCTTTGCTCAGGAGCCCAGTGGAGTAGGATTCCTCTGCGACCGCGGGATACGAACCGGCAACCTTCCAGCCACAGGAACAGATCCTGAGCCACAGAGCCACTGCACCGCACAGCGCTCGCCCAGGATTCGCTCTTAAACATCTTAGCAAACAGATCTGGGTTTACTGCAACATCAACTGCACTTTTAAACTAAACACTCTGACCAATCTAATTCAACTGCAACAGGAAATAAGAGTGTTATATCATGAAGGTCAGGGAACATGGCCCATTCTGATGTCACCACTCTCTCCTGATGTGCATTCTGACTAGTCCTGCCTCTCTCCTATTCATATCTCCTTGCTGCTCCATTCTGTCCCTTTGTTAGTGAAGAAAAATCCTCACCAATCCTCCCCCTCCACTTCCTGGTGGGCCGTGAAACAGCTCCAAGAGTCATCAGATTAACGGCTGAATTTAGCTCCGCAGTTTTCACATGACAGAGGAGGTGTGTCAGTGCAATTCAGTGATCAGGGACAGACTTCTGCTAAACGTTTTAACAAGTCATTTGCTTCGCCTGTTGACGTCTACCTGGTCAGATCCACGTGTGAGTTGTCATGAATGAGGACAAACAGGGTGTAGGGGTTCTGCTTGACCTTCCTCATGAAGGCCTCGAATTTGCTGTGGACGTCACTGTCCAGGCGGACGACGTATTTGTCGGACTTCTGAGTGGCGGAAGACGCATCCTCCAGACCCAAGTCCAGGAGAACCCCTGCGCGGGGAAAGCAAGGTAAAACGGAAGCAGGAAGAAGCGGGTTACCATTTAGAAAGGCGGTGGAATCTGTCTTTTACTGAACTTGAAAGTAAAGAACACCGTCGTGTCGTCGCATTGAAACACGAAGATCGCCTCTTCACACCCCCTCGCCCCAGGTTTCGCACACACCTGACTGTTGGATGCGCTGCGCAGTCTGATGCACCAAGACCTCGGAGGGCGGCACCAGGACCAGGAAGTCCACCTTCGAGAAGCGGCCCAGGTCCAGGCTCTGGCTACCTGAGTCGGCGATGGAGCACACCTGGGACAGCAGCCTGCGGGCCGCCACCAGCTGGGGGAGGTAGATCTGGAACACGTCGCCCACGGGGCCTGAGGAAGGAGAAGGTTAATCTTCCCTACGGATTCGCCGCGGGAGCGGGACAGCGGGGGGGGGAGCTGGGCCTCACCCGTGTCAGCGTCCGGCAGCATCGCGGCGGCTTCCTGCGACTCCACGCAGTCCCCCACGTCCCCCTGGAAAGGCGGAGTGACCCGGTCGCCTCTCCTCTTCTGGAACCTCGCCAGCTGCCTGTCCAGATTGTCTCCTGGAGAGAGCACAAGCACCGCCACGCTCAGCTCACCCTTCTCACACGGGAGGAACCAAAGCGCCGTTTCCTGTATCGTGCCGCCGGTCCGCGGTCGAAGAAGCCCTGCGACATGTTGTATTCAAAATTACCCCCCCACCCCCACCCAAGCCGGTTTTCAAGGCATTATAACTTCTTCTTCGAGAAAATGCTGTTGCACATGACTCAGAACATGAATCGTTATGTCCCAGCACGAGGCACGTATCGCAAGCCGAGTACACTATTCCTTACAGGTACTAACACCCCTTTACAGGTCATGTTGCTAGAAGTAATATTATTTATGGGTGTAAGCTGGATTAATAATGGGACTCAGGGCACTGTACTTGGTAGCTCTAAGTGAAACACACACTCTCTCTAACTTACGGCCCCTGATTGACTCTACTCCATTAATTCTTGTGGGCAAACCTCTCGCTTCAATGTGCATGGGCAACATTTCTAAGCTTTTACAGCCCCGAACCTACATACTTAATGGGAAAAATTCTCCTATATACACAGTATATAGTATACATATATACATGCTACATGTTGCAACTTTCAGGTCCCTAACCCCAACATGTATGTCGGGGAGCGCCAGCTCAGTATGTAGACTGAAACCTCAGCCCCTCTGACACCTTCAAGAGGTCGATCCACACGGCCCAGAGAGACCCCCAACCCAGCAGGCCACAGCACCCATCTGATCGGCCCTCTTGCCCCATGACACTATGCTACAATGGCATCGCTGCCCAGGACTCAGTTTCCTGCCCCGTCCAGCCTCGGCAACACGTAGTCACATCACGACGCTCAGAGAGCTCCTACCGAGAGAGGTGGCTCGGAAGTGAGAGGCGAGGATGCTGACTTTGCCAGTGATGAGCTCATAGCTGATCTCCTTCAGGAACTCGTTGGTGGTCAGCATGCTCTCAGCAAGAGCTCTGGACTGATATTTTCCTGCACGAGTAGAAAACACACATACAGTTCAGCGACGCTTTCATATTAGAATCCTCGAAACATTAAAACTCCACTTCTTCTACCACATCTATATTTCTTTTTATGTGCCAAATCAATATAATATACTTTATTTAATAATTTTACTATCTATGAATAATTTAATTTTAAAAAAGGATTCAAATGTACTTATTTCACTTTTTATCCACATCTTAAAAGGCCAATCCTAGTTTATTTTTTTATTTTTTGTTCCTGCCGCTGTTAAAGAGACAGCAGACGGTGCAGTTTAAAAGATTGCACAAAAGAAAACCTCTCGAGCCTCTGTACCACAGTTCTGCATTGTGCGTCAACCACGCTCCCCCTTTGGGAAAACACAGCATCAAGCATCAAGAAGAGCCCCCCTTTCTAAATGGGGACCCATCTTACCCCCCCGGAACGCCACTAAGCCACCTCCCCCAGAAACAAACCAAAGCTGGTGCCAATATGACCATATTCTATTTAGACAATCTCAATTCAGACTTGCTTCTCTTACCCCTTTTCAAAAGTCACAGATTGCTATGATCTTTCAAAAAGCCAGTGGAAACTTGAGTGTTTCCTGCCAGTGACACTTGGGCTTCAGGACAAAACCCTGCTCGTCGAGAACTTGCAGTAACAAGAGACGGAGCCCCAGGGAAGACTGGGGGCGATTCCGTTTTCCACTGAGCCACCTCTTCCGTTCAGTAGAATATACAACACATTCAGGTTTCATGTCTGCGCTCCAGCTTCCATGTCAGTTTAATCTGTCTGTCCTTCACCCTCATCCTGTTCATGCTGCACACACAGACCAGTACGACTCCTTTAAAAATCAGTGTCTGGAAAAAGTTTAACCTTAACCCCACTCCTCAGTGGACAGATAACACCTATCTCCAGACTG